ATAAACACTGATACAATGACCCAAAATGCACCATGCTTGACACGATCGATACAAACAATACATACACACTCCTTGATACAAAGGTAACAATGATATACACCCTGCTTGACACAGTGGCCAATAATAATATAAACACTGATACAATGACCAACATTCATACACCATGCTTGACACGACCGATACAAACAATACATACACACTCCTTGATACAAAGGCAACAATGATATACACCCTGCTTGACACAAAGGCCAACAGTATACACCCCACTTCAGACAATGCCCAACAATATACACCCCACTTGATACACTGACCAGCAATAACGTACAACCTTCTTGATACAATGGTCAATATCAACATACCGTACTTGACACAATGACTTATAATAATATAAGCCCAGCTTGATATATGACCAACACCATACACCAGGTTACACTGCACAACCTGCTTCATACAGTCTCCAGCGACACCTTTCACCCTGCTTGACATGATGCACAGTAATGCTGAGAACAGTAATGATAGTAACATATACACCCTGCCTGGTACCATGGCCAATATCAACATACACCCTGCCTGGTACAATGGCCAATATCAACATACACCCTGCCTGGTACAATGGCCAATATCAACATACACCCTGCCTGGTACCATGGCCAATATCAACATACACACTGCCTGGTACCATGGCCAATATCAACATACACCCTGCCTGGTACAATGGCCAATATCAACATACACCCTGCCTGGTACAATGGCCAATATCAACATACACCCTGCCTGGAACAATGGCCAATATCAACATACACCCTGCCTGGTACCATGGCCAATATCAACATACACCCTGCCTGGTACAATGGCCAATATCAACATACACCCTGCCTGGTACCATGGCCAATATCAACATACACCCTGCCTGGTACCATGGCCAATATCAACATACACCCTGCCTGGTACCATGGCCAATATCAACATACACCCTGCCTGGTACAATGGCCAATATCAACATACACCCTGCCTGGTACAATGGCCAATATCAACATACACCCTGCCTGGTACCATGGCCAATATCAACATACACCCTGCCATACACCCTGCCTGGAACAATGGCCAATATCAACATACACCCTGCCTGGTACAATGGCCAATATCAACATACACCCTGCCTGGTACAATGGCCAATATCAACATACACCCTGCCTGGTACAATGGCCAATATCAACATACACCCTGCCTGGAACAATGGCCAATATCAACATACACCCTGCCTGGTACAATGGCCAATATCAACATACACCCTGCCTGGTACCATGGCCAATATCAACATACACCCTGCCTGGTACAATGGCCAATATCAACATACACCCTGCCTGGTACAATGGCCAATATCAACATACACCCTGCCTGGTACAATGGCCAATATCAACATACGCCCTGCCTGGTACAATGGCCAATATCAACATACGCCCTCCTTGGCATATGGGCAGTTTCAATATACACCTTACTTGACACACACGCTGTATCAATATACACCCTGCTTGACACACGAGCAATATCAATATACACCCTGCTTGACACACGGGCAATATCAATATACACCCTGCTTGACACATGGGCAATATCAATATACACCCTCCTTGACATATGGGCAGTTTCAATATACACATTACTTGACACACACGCTGTATCAATATACACCCTGCTTGACACATGGGCAATATCAATATACACCCTGCTTGACACACGGGCAATATCAATATACACCCTGCTTGACACATGGTCAGTATCAGTACACGTTGTTTTTTCCAGGGCTACAAAACCCTCGATGTATTTCACATGGCATCCGGGTTATCATCACTCATAATGATATATATACACATAACAGATTCTGATATAAGATTAACGCCATCTAACCGAGTCACACCTGTCGTGTCTGTATTTGCAGCGAATAGCAGTCTATAATCACTGTGGTGGGACTGAACTGACCCCGACCCACCAGCTTACTGAATTACATCAATGTCTATATACACAACAAATAAGACTATACACGACACTGTGGTGCGATTGTACTGACATACACCCACCAGTTACCCAGCACCCGCAGTACAAGCTCACGACGGTCTAAATATAAGTGACACGCCCTCGATCATTCATTTGACATCGTGAAATTCCGTCTTAAGACGAGGACGCCGTGTTTGCAAAGGTAGACTGCCAATCAACGGCGTGTGTTGGGGGCGCGAGGCGCTGTCGTGTTATTGTGACATAACTGGTCTTGTACATATACATCGACACACAGGGCGACAGGCCAGCCTGCAAACAATGATAACAGCTGATCAAAATACAGGTCAGTGGGTCGAACCGCGCTACAGACAGCTGAGAGTCGGTACACTCCCTATATCGTCAAATACACGTATACATAAACAGACACAACATTTAACTGTTTACTGAAATTATCAGAAATGTTTACGTTAACTAAGGACATCTGACTTTCCATGCGAAAAATCTTATCTCGTCCTTTGATTGTCAAACACTAAATGAACAATTATCCGTGTATTTAGAGTACAATATGTGATCGACTGAGTGTTCTGTATAGCCATCATACAGGTCGTGAGCAGGTATTTCACACAAGCCGCCAGAGGTGGTTGTGTGTTTTGACTGGCTCGTATAAAAAAGAGGGCGTTGATTGTTTCTTTATGACCGAGTGATTATAAGATATGTGGGGGATCTATCAATAAGTTAATTACGGGTTTATCTGTAGTTGGTGTCAATGCAGATCTATTACACAAACTACACTAATATATTATTTACTACACTAATTATCTTAGACCGCCTCCGTGGTTAGAGCGTCCGCCCGGAGAGCGGAAGGTGGCGGGTTCGATCCCCGACCACGTCATACCAAAAGACGTTAAAATATGGTAGTTGTTGGTCCCTGCCTGGCGCTCGGCATTAATGGGTACAACAAGGACTGGTCGGCTCGGAGTCAGTATAATGTGTCTGAGTGGGGTATTCATTCTTCACTGCGGCATGGTATCTCAGTGGGCTAGCACTATAAAACCAGCTTAAGTCTGGGCTAGTACAAGCAGCTGCACATACACATACACACGCATGCACGTCGTCATATGAGCGAAATATTCTCGAGCACGACGTAAAACCCAATTTCACCTCACCTCACCTAATTATCTTATTCACCTGTTTCAGGTAAATGTATAGTCACAGATACGGAAAAAACAATGTCCAATTTCACCAGTACACTTCATTAATTGTGAGAGAATATTGCAGAGCGCAAATAATCAAATGTTTCAATAAATATATTCCCTAAGCTCTGTTTCTCAACTTTATTATTTGTAATAACATATATACTATGCGTTTTGTGTAATATAGTTGTTTCTTTTTTCTAAAACGCATTTAAAAGGAAAATGTTTAGCATTAGAGCGGATTCGTTGATCGATGCAAGATATAGAAGCGGTGTCGTTCTGTAGGTAGATACAGTCGAGCACCGTTGTGTCGAACTCTGATAACTCGATATCTCGGTTGTCTCGATATAACATCTCGGTCCCGGCAAAATCCTTCATAATTTATCATTGTTCAAGCTCTTTTAACTCGATACGGTTGTCTCGATATTTCGGATATCTCGATATAATTTCATGGTCCCAACAAGCAAAATGACCCTTTTAACTCGATATTTGCAAAGAAACTGGATATTCACCTACCTTAGACTAATACTTATACTTGTGTGGTTAAAATTATATTAACACAGTTTACTGGTGTAATTGTTATGACTGAACGTAGATACAACGTCAAATCACTGAACCGAAAAGAATTTGTATATATAGAAAGAAAACATTTGCATTTAAGACACATATAAAGCCAGCATGTAGGAGACATAAAAAACAGGAAACGTTTTCTCATTGAAAAGCATTAAACTGTGACGCATCGTTTTCTTCACATCGCCTCGCTTTGACAAGCATATGCTTTTATTTGGGTCGATCGAACGTGATATATGCTTGAAAGATGTGTTGTGTAACTTAGCGCAACCGAGCCTCGCCCATCTCAAGTTTACCAGTCAAGTTGAACGACTTACTGAGTTCGTAACCCGTAGCGACCCTCTGCAGTAAGTTGGTGACCATTTGAGGTACTACTTTCCTGATGACAAATTAATATGTATGTAACGTGATAGACCTTTATACGAACAACTTTATACATGGAACGTAATACTTTTGACACATCGTAGTCATGTAAATATACAAATAAAATAATATAAAAAACTAAATAATAAATTAATACGAGGATAATCAATTTAAATTAAGGATACAATTTGAATAAGGGGTATTTCATATCATTGTTAAATGTCCATTTTTCGCAATAATGCTTTCATCAATAATAGTACACATTTTCAAAGAATATCTTTGAAACTAATATTACACTGTAATAATGTGATTTATTACCATAACGATGTATTGTCTCTGCATTTCATCCCTTTTTATGTGAAGGCAAAATGCATAAACATCTTTCATTTTTCTCCAGTTAATTATGAAATATTGCTGTCACAGCAATATATATTTCCAACATTTTTATTGATTTTAAAAAGCCACGACTACACATAGAATTTTTTATGGTTTAACAATTCATCGGAGTTACTGACTGTCAGGATATACAGTATCTTTTATTTTTTATCTGTGTCATGCTTTTATATGTGCCGCAATATTAATTTTTAACAGTAGATGTATTATTAAATTAATGGGGTGGGGGTGGGGTGGGGGTGTGGAGAGGATTAATTACACAATATCAAAACCTTTTTGACAGGTCAGATCGTCGAATACTTTACTTCCAAAAATGTCTGTCAGAAGACACACCTGATGAATATATGTTGAAAGTATTTTTATCACATTTTCGGGAGGTCGAAATGACTAAGTCGATAGTGAAATATGACACATAACAACCGTGACGTCACTGTAATTTTCCGGTTGAAGAGTGTTGTTAGGAAGCTACTATATGATCCTACCCAGTTCCCACAATGCAACGCGAAGTCTTTGTGTTGGTGTTCCACCATATCTGACAGACGACGAATACACAAACGATGAAAAATGGAAAATCGTGAGGGTTTACCACACTAGACGATTGTAATTCTCTTTATCAGATACTTTATACTCAAAGTACAATATGTCTAGCGCTAAAACCGAGTTTCATGTCGCCGGGAAGTACCGACTTGTTAGAAAAATCGGTAGTGGATCTTTCGGTGACATCTATCTTGCCATCAACATTTCAAGTGGAGAGGTGAGTTTCTGGGCGCAGTTGAACTACAATCTTACATTTTTCTTTACCATATAAGCATGGATAAGACCACAAAAGTATGAAATTAGTCATTATGCGTATGGTATCCGAGAAATCGAGTGTTTGTGTGTCATATCGGCTGTGAATTTAGAACCATCCATCAGGGACATTTCATTCATATGTTGACAGCTGATTTCTTTCAAACGTCACACAATGTGCCATTTCAAAGTGGTGAAAATGTCTTCGAAATATATTGAATGAACACCCATGTATCTGTCATTGATATGAGATGTCAACTGAAAAGTAACCTATGAAATTGCTACCAACAGTACGAGTCCCATATGTTGAACACGTCTGGTTCTGTCAAAAACCCAGTTATTTTCATATTTGTATACCTTGGTAGTTCTCATTTGTTTAAGATTTTATATGGAATAATGTATACACATGTTTAGGGAAGGGGCAGGGGAAATATAAATGTGTTAAGGAGGTATGAATGAATTTACTCTTAGTCAGAACACTTACTCCTGTAGATATAGGTTGAAAATATTGTAGAAGTTATGCATTCACAGTCACATCAAGTCTATAGATATCAATCTAATGTATTTCTTTTTCATGTCAGTTTTACAGGTTAATAACAGTTCCTCAACCTTTCTGAACACAATAATAAAATATCATGAGAAATTTTATGAACCTTAAGACCTTGCGCATCATATGGCATATTTGAGTGAAAGATTAACTATGATGTACACATTAATTAACCAAGACCTCTGTTGTGAGTGTTATGGGTTTTTTAGGGACGGTAGAATTTGAAACATATTCAGAGGTATGTTCATTTTTGTCCCAGCAACCCTGGATGTGAAATTGAGTTGTGATTAATGAGTATGAGGTTGTCATGTACATGTCAGCAGTTGTGTTGTGAGTCCTAGGAAATATGTATCAGTGACCATTGTTATTATGCTATTTTAGGATTCTTTTGATCTTACTGACATTCTTATATGTCAGGAAAGCCTCAATATGTGGATGTAGATGGACATCAATTTTGTGAATGAGTTTTGCATACCTCTTCCATTTGTGTTTCATTGGGGCATGTATCAAGTTTCTAAATTGTATTTCTCTGTATCAGTGCATACAGGTTTCATTATGTAACATGTTCTTTTGCTTGTATGATGTTAATTGACTTGTTACATGATAAGATTTATGATTTTTCTGTCCATTGTAATCATGGTATAACTCTGTTGTTTGTGGTGCGCTACAGGTTTTGCAGACTGATGTATATGAACTAGTGGTTGTCCAATTGATTGAAATAATTGAAGATTGGTCGTAATGACTAAACGACCAAGCAATCGATCACATTTTGTCATAATTGAACACAAACAATTTTGGAACACTTGTTTGCATTGACAATATTTATCATAAGGTTGGTTTTGTTTGTTGCGTTTCATAAGCACTACGAGCTCGTTCCAAGTCATGATTAAAATTTATCTTGAAGACTCCAGGAAATTTATGTTCCTAACATATTAGTCACCCTTTAAAGACATGGAATTTACCAAAACAACCGAAAGAACTACATGTTTTTTTCTTTATTTTGTGTACATTAACAAACATAACCAGGGCAATTTGATAAATAACACTAACCAACTATTTTTGATGATTGATCGGTTGTAATGAACCAATCATCAATTATAAGATTCTAACTAATTTCCAACACTAATATGAACAACTTCATATCAGTACCATGGTGTATCATGACTCTTGTTTGTCTATATATGAATGTAGATCACATTTGTTTTATCCCTGTATTATGGGACTGTCACTAAATGTCTGCTCAACTATAAAACATCTTGGAAACTTATGCATGACGTTGTTTCAAACACAAGCCATCATCCGAGTATTTACAATGTCTATATGCCGCAACACACCTTGCTATGATAAACACTGCTCTCCAAAAACATAAAATGTGACAATAGAATAGCCCAAAACACAAACATACATTCTTGTATCCAGTTTGTTTAGTAAGTGCTTTCTATGTATGCAAATCAAGTACATGTTTCAAACTTGATAGATATTAGGGCATTTGGCATCATAATGTTTTGTTATGATCCAAGATATGTGAACATCAGTGCATGTTTAATAAACGTTGCTAAAAGAGTTTTGTGTCTAAACTTGTGACAATTCATGGTTCATTCTTTAGTGTAGGTTGGGAATGGTCAGCTGTGGGAAGGTTCACTTTACATCAACATCACATCCATTGGCAATACCTGAAAGTGTATAGAGGCACATTTAGTGTTAAATAAATTAGCATAGAAAATATACAAATATTAGTTACCAAAGCAATCCTAATTTTATGAGGACAAGTCTATTCATTTGAATTTTTGTTAATGCATTAATACTATTTTGAAACCATTTTGATGCTTCATTGACAGGTTTCATTTATGAATTTCAACTCCTTTATCAATTTTTCAGTGTGCTTCAGTACTTTTTGTGTGTTCATGTCTGTGTACTGTAGTATTTATATATAAACAATTAACTATCTCCAACCCAGCTGATAAAGGTGCTGGCACTTCAACTGGAACAACCCAATGAAGTGATAAGGAAACTGAAGTTATTTAAGTAAGCCTAAATTTCATTAATTACGTAGCCTTGTGAAAATGTTATGAAATTGTGACAACTCTTGTAAATTGCCTGAAATTACTATAACCCTAAGACTTGTAGTGATGTAGATGATGTTTGTGTATGTGGAAGGTTACCAGTAATTTAGTCCCACCCCCTCATTGCTCAGTTGTGTGCTGGGCAGATAGATTATATGTCACAGTCGACATGGTTGGTCCGTCCACTGCCAGTAAGGAGCTTATGTGTCATTTGTATTCATGTTTGCTACAGGGGAGATTCAGGCTGATAAGAAGACAGAACATGTTTGTGTTGTTACCTTGCTGAATGTAAAGTAAACAACTCTTTGAATAATTCTGAAGACTATAGGTCCTAGACTGTCTCCCTTAAAGGTCACATCTTCCTCTAGGAATGTAGTCAAGACTGTGATCTACTGTTGGATAGGATTGTTTTATGCTTGAAAGTTGGATAGAGGTCCACTGCTGATATATTGCAGTCGGGTAATGTGGTGGCAGGTTGTTTGGGTTTTTTAGCTCATGGCATGGTTTCTCTTTGAGAAAGATACCAGTTCAAGTCTTTTACATCAACACATGGGTAATGTTAGCTTTGTCCACATTTCATTCCATATTGTTTTTGCAAAAAGAACTTGTGACATATTAAGGGGTGGTTCTGTTTGTCTTCAATTTTAATTCTCTGGTACTGCATCGAGGGAGCCCTGAACAGTTATGTTTCAGCATCGGGGTTTTGATAAGGACCTCATAACTTTCATGTTTCCTACACAGCATTTAGGTATGATACTATTACCATGGTAAAGTATACCTACTTATTTATTTGTGGAGCTTCAGGAAATACTGTCACAATTCCTGTAAACAATGCGAAACACTGAGAGAGAGTTACTGCTAGCTATTCTGGTGAGTTTATCACCAGATGTTTGACATTTTGCTTTGACTTACATGATTTTTGAGGCGATCTGTTTATCATGTTGACCACATCAATTATTTTTCAGATGGTATTTGTCTTGTACCATATAGATAGCTGAATAAGGACCGTGCACATGGAGTAGGTTCTGTAGCTCACCTTCATTACAGATTTGCTTTACCTATACAATAAGAGTCTCTTCACTTTCCTAGTGTAGCATATGACCCTAGACAGTGGAGACCATATTAGACTGTATTGATGTTGTTTCTTCAAACTGATGGCAGGTTAAAAGTAACCATAATACTGATGGTTTATAGCATACATTTGTCATACAAATTCTTCTTGTTTCCAGGAAGTGGCTGCTAAATTGGAAGCAAATAAAGCCAGACATCCACAGTTGTTATATGAAAGTAAACTGTATAAAATATTACAAGGTGGAGCTGGTATACCACATGTAAGGTAAGTGTCCTTTTAATGTTTGAACATCCAACTCAACACTGATGTCTTGATGTTCTTTACATGGTCATGCTTGTTTTTTCTGCCTAGCAGTGGTGAGGGGCTGTGAAGTGAGGTTAAACGTCAAGTGCAAGATTATTGCACTTTTACTGTTATATCATGTACATAGTGCTAGCTGGATGATAAAGTTCAAGATGGGATACGCCACTCTGACATGTTGTGCTTCATCATTCAATAATTAACCTCCTTATTGCTGAGCAACATGCAGGGTAAGAACAAGTATGATCTTTCAGCATTGTTGGGTATGAAATATCCACGGGATCGATCCACTGACTTTCCAGTTTTTAGGCAGATGCCCATCCACTATTTAGTAAGGCTGTAACGATTCACTCGCATATTCGGTGAATCGAACCATTGCCCTTCATGAATTCAATTCGTTATTCGTGGTCACCAGAACCGAATATGCATGAATATTTACAATTTTTAAGGGAGTGTGTTTTACTTGAACCCTTATGTCCTTTTTCAAAATGAGATATGCAAGAATGCATTATGTACTAGCCTTGTAGTAGAGCAAGTCATGTTAGTTTGCCAAGGCCGCACATGGTACTGTCAACTTAACTATTACATACCAAATTTGAGTGTCATGAGATGACTGGTTATTGCCTGGACAAATTAACACTGTCAACATGGGCATTCAGTATTGTGCATCAGTCACTTAACTACAATATTGTATTCGTGAATAATTATTCGTATTCGTTACCAAATATTCGTGATACGTATCATTCGCAACATAGTGTATTCGTTACAGCCCTACTATTTAGTAAAACTGATCAATGTAGAGAACATGAAACATTAGCTCAAACATTCTATATGTGTGTTATAATGGATTTTATTGTCGCATTTGGAGCTGCTAAGATTCTAGGTTGCTTTTGTTTCTTGGTATACATGGAAAGGTATCTTCAAGGATTGGCACAAATATGCTTTCCATCTCCATGTGAGTGTGGTTTGTCAAAAAATGAAACTGAGATTGTCAACTAGATTTGAATATCATGGTATCACAGGCTTCAAGGATTCTTAGACTGAGCCTCAGAAACATGATGGACTTCCTATGTTGATGAGGAAGCAGACCTGTCCTGCTGAACACCATCTGATTTTTAACTCAGATGAGTCTAATGCTAACCCTGAATCTTGAACACTTTACACAAATGGTAACAAGCTCTTGGAAAAGGGTATGATTTGAAGTTAAAATAAATAATAAATTATTAAGACAATATAATATAAGTTCTCTGTAGCATCTGCCACGTACAGTTTTATACCACCCTGTTGAGGTTTGATCACCCTCAGCTACACTTCGAAATCCTGCATGCCTAAACTTTGGTAAAGGTTGTTGGCAGCCTTTTTTGTGTCAAGCAAGTCAAGGCATAGGTGAAATACTGCAGTGCTAGTGAGGTGTCAAGCAACAGGCACTCACTTCTGTTTTACTGGCCAATGTAAAGGGAGTTTCAGACACTCACTTAAGTCACTACCAGGTTGTTTGCCTTGCAACACATGGTAATATTCACACAGTTGTGTACAAACCGAAACAAGTGTTTGACAGATGATGTGTACATTTTTGTGATGGTATCTATTTAATGTCTACCTATTCATAGGATCTTGACTTAGTGAAAACAAGGTTTTAGTTATGACAGAAAGTAACAAATTTACCGTCTTGCACAGTCATCGATAAAATCCAGCCAACTTTTGATTACCTGATACTGTAATCACTCGATAGCCTACTAAGTATTGTTAGGTCTTTGTATTACCTACAGGCAGATGAGCAATGTCACTAGATTGTCATTGAGATAAGGTGTATTACCTGTACCTTGTTAGTACTTTGTATCTGATTCTGGGTTTAAAATTGACTTTAAAACTGGGGTCCAGCAATCCCCTATAATTAATTTCAAAGGTCGAAGGAAATATGGGTCAATGGACCCTGTTTCAGAAAGCAATCGTAGGGCTACAATTGTTGTATACATTAACAGAGTTGTGTGATTCATAGTGCCAAGGTCACTTTGTGAAACAGGTCCCTGGTAAGCATTACAATTGTATATTGTACTTTACTGTAAGATTTGATAATTATTCAACTTACATTACCTTTAAATGTTTTGTGAAGAGTTTTGGTAAAATGAATATTATTGGATGATCTGAGGCATACAGTATTTTGTTACTCTGTGTCCTTTCTGTACATTTGGGCATCAAGATACCTTGCTGAAATCATTGTTTGATTGGGTGTTTTCATCGAGGTAACATAAGTTGAAAATGACCTTTACTTTCAATATGTTCAAAGTATGGCTTATTGAAAATAATGACAGCCTTAGCATCAGCACAACATGCACTGATCATGCTTTAAAACATACTACAGCAGATGTTGTTGTGCCAAATAAATATTGAAAATATATTAATCAAGGATAATATTGTTGGCATATATCAAGCCAAAATCTGTATTTGGAGAGAAATTTAATTAAAATTCAGCCATGGTAAATTACACATACTTCCAACATGCAGCCGAGTGAACATGGAGCCCTACAAAGCTGCTGAGTAGAAATATGTTGGACATTGTATTCTTCATACTTGATCTATGAATATGAATCGTCTCTGTTCAAACTACATAGCCTTCAAATCTGTAACCCCCAGCTGGTTTCACAATAGTACTGTAAATTGTTAATGCATCGTATTGAATGTGAGTTACTCAGGAGTGATTACTCAGTCTAGTGCAAGATGTATCCGATCTTCATTGCTGTCAATTGGTGCTCATTGCTGACGTCTGTAAGAAATAAAGGGCATGTTGACCTTAATGGTCATTTGTCTAAACATTCACTCGCACTGCAGAAAATATCAACATTTAACATGTTAATTGTTGGTCACGTTTGTAAATAAGTCCCAAAATACTAGGATTGAATTGTTATTTGAACATCAGATTAAATCTGTCATATTTGTGAAGTATACAAGCTGACATATATTTTTTTAAACAGCAAGAATAAAAGTATGACTTAAGGGAAGGGTTTGGCGTTTGATTGTCTAATGCCTGAGGTTAAACATGATTTTAAAAAATATTAGTCATTCATACTGTAATCAGTGCCTTTTTAATTTTAAGACTGATTAGCATTGTACATTTAACAATTGCATTTTATGGACCATGTAACATTTTGTACAAGGTATCATTTGGCTCCAGATAAGAGCCGTATCGGCGTATGTACGGCTAAAACATATGCATGATACGGTAGGAAATAATTTAGAAAACGTAGCAGATACGCACCACAGCAGGTGTCACGGTCTTAAAATCATTTACAGACGTATTTATCTGAAAAAAGTATTGTTTTATTGGGTTTTTTTACCTGTTCACACAAGAGTAGCAATGTTTTGACGCATATATGAAATGAAACACAAGATTACTGGTACTCCATTAAATTCCATTCAGTACTCTAAATGTACTCTTAAGGTTTTCCAGTACTCCTATATTGAACAAATAAGGAGTACGTACTCCTGATGTGAAAAATTATCTGGAGCCCTGGTATCATTTGGCATCAAAACAGCATTTTAACTCAAGGCTAGCTCGAATGATTCAGAAAACACAAAGGAAAATGTTACATGACTGTTTATTCGTACTCAATAACACTTGGAATCCAACTGGAATCTACAAGTGAAGTCCTTGAATTGATTAGAACCAATTAAGCGGACTGTAAAGTCTGTAATCATCTCTAATAATATTACATCTATAGGTAACTGAATCAATAATCTCAACACTTTACTTGTCTCTGGGTGTCATTATATAAGTTGTTTGACACAACTGGGCATATTTGTTCTTAATATGTCCTCATAATGTTTTGTTTCCCCAAGAGGAGCTTGGTGAATGAAGCAACCTTCATGATAGAGCAGATGAAGTAGTTGAAACTGACAAGTCAGTGTCACGTCCTTTTCATTGGGAGACCTGTGTCACCTCTCTTTTTTGAATCTGACAACCCAAAGACCGAGCAACTTATTTTCCTCTTTTCTTCACATGTATCCAGCTGCACCCACCAAATGCTAACACTCACCTCCTTGTTATACAACACAGTGTTTACTCATCGTATGGGAAATTGAAAAACCAGGTCACCTTGGCTAAGTTTAGTTATTACAACTTCCTTGTGAAGGTTACATTCATTTTCTCAAATCATATGGATGAGTTAATCGTCTACAAAACTGACACACTTTGGAATTTTCTTTTTATTTCTTCAATGATATCTGTGAAGTTATGTCAGTGTTTTCATGTTATCTATGATTCTATGCAGTTTTCATACTTCTTGTTGGAGGACAAGGAGTGGCATTTTTTGAAACACTGATTTTTGTCTTGTTGATTGCTTGTGGCATTTAAGTTCAAGTGGTTTTCTTGTGATTTACCTTGGTCTTGTTTATCAGTATGTATGAATCCAGTTGTTCTTTGTGACCTGCACCTATTATGATCACGGAATGGTGACCTCGCGCTTTACATAACCTGGTAATGATTAACAGCCAGTCACCTTAATTGGAACAGGTAAAAAATACCATAAGATTTTCTATCTTCAGCTGTGCGATTACAGTAGGAACCGCCCTAGAGATAGTATGTTTGCCCGACTTGTGTAATGTGTTCGGGCTGATCCCTCCGCTCTGATTTACCTTGGTTACTGCAGTGTGAAGCAGATTATTACTGCCATAAAAATGGAGAGCCGTCTTGCGCCTTGATGTGAAGTTGACAGGTGATGTTGCCTTCCCGTGGACTCCCTGACCTGTCTGTCACCCATGTGAAGCAGCCTAGCCTTGTACAGCACATAGTCTGTACAACCATTGGTCCTCTACCTGGCTCTATCTACCTTAGTGCTAGGCAGCAAATACACCCCCAGTGGTGGGGCATATTGACCTGGTTTTGTAGGGAAACAATATGAAATGGGATTGTTTGAAATGTACTTTTCATCAGAGTCTGTTATCTACTGAGATATATGTCAGCTCTGTTGACATCAGTACCCTCCTCAAGGTTGTCAACTCCCGTCTCCATCTATCTGTGTTGACGTAGAGAGAGATTGCTGACGTAAGGGCTTGTTACAGCTCATTTCCGTGTCATACTCAAGAGAGACCTGTTACGTTTACTTTTAGTAGTTTTACCAACAGTTAAATTATACAAGGAATTTCAACAAAAATGTTTTTGTTGATCAAAACAGGTGCATCTTTAATCATGGGATAATTATAATTTGGCCAACAATATATTGTATAATTAGTCTGTTATTATGTTCATTTATGTGGGATATAACAAAAGTGAATAAGTTTGAATGTGATAGAATTTCAGGTTCCATTTCAGGTAAACATGATAAAGACGTGGAGAAAAAAATGGCCCTAATTTGGCTAGCCACTGTGCAAAGCCATTGAACTGCCCTTTGTGAACCCATTAGCGAAAACACAGTGTAGTGTGACCTCCCCTCACATGTGATTGTTGCCAGGGACTTAAATTACATGTATATTTTTAGACTGTTATGAGATTGGAAGTAGGCTTGACTCTGTTGAAGGTAGCATGACGATATTACACAATACGTGGCACATTGCACCATGTGGATCTGGCTGATCAAATTACATCTGTCATAGGTGTGGGTTTAGAATGATGAATAGTTCACTATTGAAAGCATTTGACCAGAACAGATACCTTCTCCGATTCCAAGGAGGTTTGAAAAAACATCAGTTATGATGATATATCAATAAATAACCAGAGATTTAATACTTTCAACAAACTGGAAGGGGTAATGGGTCTGATGTGTTGAGGCTTTGTTTAGTTATTAATAGTTTAAGGGATCACTTGCCTGACTGTTTCACTTCAAAGTGACAAATACAACATTGGGAGCATATTCATGGCGTTGCATACAGTCATAAGCATTAAATCATTAAATGTTAAAACCATCAGTGAATCTTTAATATATCCCCTCAAGCCTTATATATATGCTTATCAGTCCTCAAAATTCAGCGGCTCAGTTGAAATCACTGTCAAGATAAGTTCACAGCTAAGGGCAAACTTAGAAGTAATCAAAAAAATTATACAAAAAGAGTATGAGGCATTGTATAATATGTGAATGCAGTGATAAATTTATGGCTGAAACTAAAATGAATGGACATTATTTACACGCTTGGTATTTCTCAAAGTAAACATGATAGATGTGCCCATATAGAACTTAGAAACAATGTCATTAGGAAATTTCTAAATCACAACTACTTATTTAGCTTGAAGTATAGTTGAATGTTTTGGGGTTTTTGTTCGGTACATGAGATATGATCATAATGCAGAAAATTGACCACAAGAGCCAAAACTTACATTGTTAAATACCATGGAATGAACAAAACTTGTCATTTTATGACTAGATAGAAGAACAGTACAAAAACCAAATTTTTGGATTGCATTAAGGTATACCGAACCGAAGGCAAAATACACGGTTCTGCTAATAGTACAATGTCATCCCTGGGGGTGCCATGTAGCGCACTTAAAAGAAAAACAGCATTTCTGTCCCTGCCATGGCTCATGTCTCTGTTCACAGTCCCTGAAACAGATGATTTCCCCTTCTTCCCAGCCCTTGCTGTAAAGCTAGAGCTCTATATCATGTACACAGTATCTAGGTGTCACTGGTTCTGACCTGCCTATAAACTAGAGCTACTTTACAAATTAACTAACCATTTGTCTACCTCATCTGTACTCTTCATGGCCTTGTCCTCACAGATATGGTGGGAATAATATTTGAAGGAGTGTTAAACCCAACTCTCCCACTCTTATATCACTTCTGCTTAGAATGTAATTTTATAATAATCTTCGTCAGGCCCTGCTCCCAAAGTATTATTACACTTCTCCATCTCTCCATAAATTTGTACAATTGTTGTCATCTTTGTTGTTTGCCACGGATCGATCAGAGTTTCTACCATTTGAATTGGAAATGGTTCTGGTAGAATCTCTGATTGTACCAGTAGAGACTCTGATCGCAATCTCTACTGGTAGAATCTCCAATCCTACCAGATCGCAATCTCTACCCTGACATATACATAAGACAAGACAAGAGTTTTTGACCTAGGTAATATTCAGTAAATACATGTTGATACCATATGTCTGTGTTTGAAAACAATAACTGAAAACAGTTTTCAAAATTGGTTGTATAAAATATATGTGAATACAGAGATAAAAAAAAAACTTTTAAGGCTGTTTTGTGAATAATAACACAATGAAATTACAAATGGTGATAGGTCAAACTTGGCCAAACTTTTAAAACATCCATCCATACCTGGATGTTTGAAACCTTCATTGTTGTCAGTACTTGGGAGAAAAACATGCTGATGAACTTTCTCAATAATGATTTGTCTTGAATTGTACTTATCACCAGGTTTTAGGTCAGTGGTCGTAGACTGATCCATCTAACAGGATGCATTGGATGAATATGGTTATTTTTCTTCTGTAGCATTTTTCATATTTCTGTGAAATTAAAAGAGGTACATGTGTTTATTTTGTTGTTGCAGATGGTTCGGACAGGAGAAGGACTACAATGTTTTAGTGATGGACTTGCTGGGGCCAAGTCTCGAAGATCTGTTTAACTTTTGCTCACGGAAATTCACGATGAAAACAGTTCTAATGCTAGCAGATCAGGTAAATACAGTGACAGTATGAAGCATATATTAATCATGTCTTCTGTTCAAGAGAACTTCATGCAGTATGTTTCTACCTTTCAACCTGTGTACAGAAAACACGATTTGTTTTCTGTATCAATAGACACGACAGAGTATTATGCTACAGTGCTGAAGAGGCTGCTAGCTCTCTCATCAGCATGCTAAGTGATATGCGAGCTTGGACAGACTGAGGCCGGAGCGGCAGTGCTATGTGGCCACCACCAGCAGCAGCTCCTTGCCTGCCTTTTGTATTGATCTGAAGATGTTGTCTGCTTCACTCTAGCAGAGTCTGGTGAGGTGGCAATGATTATGTCCAGCCACCAGGAAATGTCAGCCAGTCAAGGCAGTCTGTTCCAGGCAGAGAACTACTCCACCCATCCCTGGCCAACACAACTCAAATCAGCTTGATTACATCAATTGGCACTGACATGCAAAGCCTAATGGAATCTCACAAGCATATGTGTAATTACGTAAAAAGACCAAAATATCTAGTTTTCTCTATCTAATTCAATTTTGAACAACGAATGTTGTGGTGTATTCCAGTGAAAAGTAAGAGTAGATTTTAATCTCCTAAAGCTGGTGTTTTTTAACCACTGATCTGAAGACCCCAATCAAGTACATTATTTAATTGATTAATTTATGTAGAAGGAAAAAGTGTGAAGTTGTGTTTGTGAAATAGACAAAGTGACATTTTACTTACTTTTTATCCAGACTATATGTCTAGGGTTAAGTGAGTTGTGTTGAAAGATGTGACTGAAAGTAGACTTTGTGAGCAAATATTGATTTTCTAAAAATATGCTGTGTATTGTGTTTGTTGTGGATTAAGGATTGTACAGTTTACAAAATAGACTAATGGTATTAGATTTGTTTATTAGGTTGAACCAATCAATTGAAGTGTACTTCCAGGTATTATGTCTTCTGCTAGTTTCATTTTCAGATGTTTTTTTATCAGTTACAGCAGTTATGTTATGTCCGTGCATCCCTACAGGAACAATAACTTCCTCGGTAGTCGGTTTTGCAGTAGATATTTTCATGTAATGTATGTAGTTTTCACATCCCATGTATGGTTTATTGTGCTTTCACATGATAGTTTAGTATTTAAAACAGATGGTTTACTCATCATTCTTATTGCTCATGCTTTTCTTGTGTTTGAAAAAAAACCCACCAAAAGTGCACACATGTTATCTCGTTATTTAGATATTCTGTAAGCATAAGCATGTTCAAATCCATGAAAATAAGTCAGATGACTGCTGAACAGTACTTAGCATTTTGAGATGTGTAATTTCAGGGATAGAAATACTTCTTTTTTCTAAGTGTGCCTTAGGGCACCAGGCAAATATTATAAATGTGCCTTTCAGAAATCAAGTGTGCCCACATGTTTTTAGAATAACTGACTGTAGCAATGATGATGATCATTGGAAATTTATTGTTAGTAAACAACATATGTAACCTGTTTTCTGTTATCACTGATATGTCATCTGTTTAAGATGGCTTTCTTAAGCTTCATTTGTTCTACTTTCCCAACACCTTTAACAGCTAAGAATTTTGTGACAGGTTCATTTGTTCTACTTTCCCAACACCTTAACAGCTAAGAATTTTGTGACAGGTTCATTTGTTCAGTATATCTAACATACACAATTTCCTCTTCAATAACCGAACTGTCAGTACTCCCATCACTCTAAATGGAAAAATAACCAGATTTCTTTACATCATCCATCATAATTCCAGTGATTTCTTGGGCAGTGATTTCTAAAGTCATTAAATGTTTTTGCTTGTTTGTCATCTCCGTAAGTGTTTTGTTTTGGAGATTAAATGACTAAAGGTGAGTTATGTCTCTTAAAGATTAGGAGTGCCATAAGGGCACCGAGAACATTTTTTAATCGTGCCATTTCAATATTTACCGTGCCATGACACGCTAATATATAAGGTATTTCGAACCCTGAGTAATTCGTGTATAATGTTTTGTGTTAAAAACTGTATGAGAAACAATGATTGAACTTGCTTACCAGTTTCCTAATCAGATGAAGTATTTATTGGCTGAGTTTAGTGTTAAGGAATCTGTTATCTGGAAGACTGCTGATTTTGGGATTTGCTGGTATTATAGCAGTAGGCTGTAAACAAGTGTAAACAACATAAACCACAGAATACAGTGTTGACCGCTGGTTAGTAGGGTATCTAGTGGCTGTATTGATTACATGTCAGTTTCATGTTAGTCACAGTGGTTCAGACCTATGTCATGTTGTCTAGCTTGGCAACCAGTAATGAGCATGACTAGGGTTATTTGTGTTTGATGTATAGAATCTTGTTGTTTGCAGACATAATGAGATGCTGATAGTGGTGAGAAGATGACAAGATTGTATTTAATGATGAAATAACAAGATATATAAGGGACTTGTCAAGTTCCCTCAACACTGTTATTGGAACTCTGAATCTTTTAGTGCTGTGACAGTGAAGTGAATGGTCTGTGAATTATGTATGCATATGGAACATTATTTGGTTATTGTGTATGAGCGTCTAATTATAGTGTGTAACTGTCTAATCAATGAATGTCTGTGTTGCAGATGATCAACCGTGTAGAGTATGTTCATAACAAGAACTTCATTCACAGAGACATCAAGCCTGACAACTTCCTCATGGGTATTGGGCGACATTGTAACAAGGTGAGACTGAAAGCTGTTCTTGTAACTCACTTGTTCATTGCTTAATGCTGCAGTCAGCAATGTTTTAGCTTTACTGACGGTGGACCGTAACCAGCCAATCTTGTGATTGACATGAGCATCAAACTATGCAAATGGGATACAATGATATGCACCAACCAAGTCAGCAATCCCATGCCTCCTCTTACAACAAGCATGTTTCTAAGTCTTCTGGCATGGATCTTCACAGATCGCTCATGTAATTGAAGCACTATCTTTGTAACATACACACAACACGTTCAAGTCAAAACTATTTACCATACATGCATGTTACATGTTCCACAAGCTGCTGTTAAATGTAAATGTACTGGTCTTGGCCTACATGTACAGACACACTATGTGTTCACACCGGTTCACAAGTATGTTACTTCAACTGGTATTCTTGTTGTACTTACTTTCCTTATATTCTGATATTCACATATCCTTGAATGTAATATTTACCTGCCCCCAAATGGAACTCAACTATTAAGTGGAAGAACAGTGTCCAAGTCAATATTCCCGTATAATCCCTGCTTGATATATTTGTGATAAACTGTTATGTCATGGCTGCTGGGGAGTTTAGTGTATTCTGTGTTTTTGGTTTCATAGGGTGAACCATGATACCGTTCTTTTATAGTGTGCCATATGAATCTTACTTTAAGCCATGTGTTCACCTCTGAACTCTTGCTATTGTTTTGTTTCAGGTGTTTATCATAGACTTTGGCTTAGCTAAAAAGTACCGAGACAATCGCTCCAGACAGCACATACCTTACCGAGAAGACAAGAACCTGACAGGCACTGCTCGCTATGCCAGTATCAACGCCCATCTGGGCATAGAGCAGAGTCGGCGGGACGACATGGAGTCTCTCGGATATGTCCTCATGTACTTCAATAGGGGATCTTTACCATGGCAAGGGCTGAGAGTAAGATCAGTTTGCTTTGTGTTATATCATGGTTATGATTTCCTTCGTTAGCAAGGGAGGAGTAGATCTATTGCCCTTTTATCCAAGATCAAGTTTGACATAGTAGTAATACTTGCCACTCTATGAGTCAGTGGTCTAACAGCTGATGGCAGTCATTAGTCATGCTGCTAAATTTGATATGTGTAGCAAGTAGGGTAGGTTTTTTTCTAGTGTATGATATAAGTTACAGCTCACGAACTCAACATAGCTACCAAAGTTGTTAGTCATGAGATTAATAAAATAGAACAGACCCAGAAATTTATTAACTAACCCATTTACTGATGCCAATATTTGTTTGCTGTTGTACATAGTGTATGGGTCACTATTTGTGTAACGCCTGTCGTGTGGAGAGGAGACGGGTGCAGTGTAACATGGGCAAGTGCTGATATATATAACAACTATAACCTGCTGTTTAGGGATCAGGGCATACAGTCATATTATGGTGCTTTTCTAGCATTGTACAATGCCATAGGTCCCTGTATTTGGCTCAAGTTCTTTTTTTATCTTCCTTCAACAGGCTGCCACAAAGAAGCAGAAATATGAGAAAATTAGTGAAAAGAAAATGTCAACGCCAGTTGAAGTCCTCTGTAAGGTAAGGAATAATCCCACTGAGAGGTGTCATTGTACAGATTAATGGATACTAGCTTAATTGATTGTCTTATCCACACAGTGTTTTGTTACAAGTCTGTTATAGTTCTTACTCAGTACAGAAACCAAATGTATTGTGATAAGTCGAATGTATGGCATATCAGTAGTTATACATGACTGCATGTCACCTTGAATGTGACCACATAATAATAATGAGAAGATTTATAACATGCATTTTCCAGGCTAGATATCCTGGTCAAAGCACACAATCTGATCATTATTACCCCGGATAACCCAAGCTGCCTGTTGGGTGCTAGAAGGTTAATAGTCTCACGACTTATTCCACCGGGTACCCATTTTCTGCTGTAAAGTGACACTTGTGTAAAGGATGGTAATGTGTCATGCAGGGTTTTCCGGCTGAGTTTGCCATGTACCTGAACTACTGCCGAGGCCTACGTTTTGAAGAGGCTCCTGACTACATGTACCTGCGACAACTGTTCCGGATCCTGTTCCGGACACTCAACCACCAGTACGACTATGTGTTTGATTGGACGATGTTAAAGCAGAAAGCCTCCCACCAGGCAACACAACAACAGATTTCTTCTACTGGTGTGTAGGATTTCCCTCTCTCTTCAGTCATAATACTCCTGATTGTTTCCTGAGAAACCAGTTGCCAGATCTTAGGCTTATTTTGCCAAACAAAACATATTCATAAAACTGGTTCACTTTACTTAATCATTACCAGTTCATGATCAATCAAGAATGTGAATAGAAAATATCTAATTAAATAGCAAGTGCCATTATAAAAAATCACTTAAATTATATTTTGCTATAGTTTGCAACATAAAAAACATCTGTTCTGAGTCAACAAAGAAACTTTGCCACAAGAACATGTCATGAAACTGTATCTTTTCATTTTTTGTCTTTATATTATAAAATGAAATGATGTAACAGAATAACAGGAAAATAAGATGAGTCTCAGATTTCTTGAATGATTCCTGAAGTATGTTCTATCAAATTTTGTGCTTTTACTTTCTTTGCGTTGAATATTTTCCCCATGATGTGTGTTTTCTCCTTCTGTTGTTTCAGCGAAGTGAATGGACGTTGCGGATGTACCAGGCAGCATTGTCCCGAGGTTTAACTCGCTACCCACCCACCTCAAGTCATGTGTGTGTGGTTTGAACAGTTTCATCATAAACAAGTGGATGTATAGTGGTGTCTGAGAGAAAAACTGTCAATACGAACGTAGTCGGCCGATCAACTTATCATCTACCAACCCTGTTATCTCTCATAGTTTCATCTTCCCGTTACCGGAGGGGGTTGTCCCGCAGAGTATCAGCTCTTGTTTTTGTTATTTGAGTTATTTTGTAGTGTGCTATTTGATTGGTGAAACTGCGTAGTCATGCTAAACTGAGGCTTGACATTAACCATAGGAAAGCTAGATAATCAGGGTTATTGATTTTGTTTGCAGGAGCGAATTTCTTTAGTGGCAAGGCAGCTTGTTAACCAAATTCTGGAGAAAAAAAATGATTGTTTAAAATGATGTGAATAGACACAAGTTGAAAGATGAGTGAATTTGAAAGTGCAAACTTTTGCTATTTATTGAAAATTCTTCGTATTTTTGTTTGGAATAACATGTATGTTAGATTGAAGGTCCAAAGCTCATCACTCACATTTCTTGTAAATCAAGTTGGTGTTTTTTTAACACATTTTCTCGGTCATACATAGTTCAACACACACACTAACTACACTAACCTGAGATGTATATTGGCGATGTTAACACACTGTAACAAGAAATCCTTAATCTACACAAATACAGGGGTGGGTGATATCATGTTTAGTTCTGTACATATGCCAAAACATATTGTAAACCTAACAAGCACTTTTCAAAAGAAACTCATTTGACATCAATCTCTCTGCAAATGAAAAAATCCATTGATTATTTAATAAGATTTGGAAAACAATGAGAAGAATGGTTGGACTCATGTCCACTATTGCAATATTTCCCCCCAATTCCCAGTTTGTTGTACTGACTGTTGAGGGTCAGTGCCCGTGTATGCCATTTTACCTGAACTTCCATCTGAGTAACAAGGGCATGAAGTCACCGAGGACGGTATAATCTGTAATATGGCAACTCATTCACGTCCTTTTGTCATTGATACCTAAACAAAGTCTCTTTCTCTTTCTTTCTTGCTCCTTTTACAATGTACAGTTATATATTTAACTTGTTGAATTTTACCAGTCATTGTTATGTATTTGTGTGTAATATATTTGTATATTATTTTAAATATTGAGTTTGGTTGGATGTTGCTGTAAATATTTGTAGAGTAGGTGCAAACTTATTTTGGCAAGTTTGACGCACTGGGATGAAAGGGATGTACTGGGACACCACATCTGTAGAGAACTCCTGTATGTGAGATTATTACCCTGTTAGCTCAGGCTCATCTGCCATGGATGCCGATTATATGCCAGATAGGAACTGCAGGAACAATATGTGTGTATGGTTGTGAAACAAGGAATAAGACCTACATTTATTGCCAACTGACATTTCCTGTACAAGCATGGAACTTTGACATACTACTGGCATGTCGTTGACACTTAAGTCACATGATTTGCAATGGTTGAAAAAATACCAGTATGTGCATTGTCTCTTGGAAGCATCTTTGGAAGCTGGTCTGATGCGTACATGTTATTCCTGTGTTGCCAATGCTGAGCTATTATTGTGGATTAGATATACCAGGGATACCCCATAATCATTTTGTGTGTGTGTAAATATTCCTTGGTTTGACAAGTGAGTCACTGGGCGCGGTGACATTTATGTGTCAGATACATAGTATGGATTTGTGTTCTAAACTATTTTGGAGTACAGTTTGATGATGTATGTATCTAAATGTCTCTAATGCTAGCTGTAATATACTCTTGAGTGTCTTTTGTAAGTATACGTATAGAGCTGCAAGTACAAAATCAAAGAGTGAAATGTTTGTTCAGATAACCCCTGGATCATCTTCAGTTACTAACTCACCCCTTGTAGAATCAAGGAGCTGTGAATGTCTGCCTTCCACTTTTCTATACCTGAGGTCATCGAATACTTCTACATTTTTGTCATTTGTTTTCCTTTTGAAGAAATGCTTAAAATTATCTTTACACTACCTCAAAGGTTGTTGAAAATATATCTTATTCTGTCAATATCCACTGTTCCTCTTCAATGACCTCAGGTGTAACAACATCAAGTGAGATGTCATTTTACATTTTGCTTCTGACAATTTGATGCAGCCTCTCAAAGAGCCAGTCAATGTTGGAGAGTTTGTGATTTCCTTTTGTGGGTCAAACACTATCCCAAGTTATCGTGTCACATGTTTCATGGTGTGAGTAAACATGATTTGAACCTGCAGTGACCATCACTTCCACCCAAGTATTTGAACTGGCATTACAAACTGGCATTGTAACATAATTTTGAAGGTTGAAATGTTAAAGCAGTCTGATGAACTTTATTTTATCAGAAAAAAAACACTGTAAACTTGTTATTTGAAGGTTGCAGCTATCATTGAATTTGATAAATAAACAATTGATATAAAATTGTGTTATTGTGTTTTCTGAAGAATACTGTTTGAAAAATATACTCGCATTGAAACATATCAGATAAAATCAAGATCCGCCCAGTAAAAAGTCTGATTTCAGCTTAATAAAATTTAGTTTTATTTCTTCATCTCGATTCCTAAATCATGATCACAAGTAAATCAAGATAAAAGACAAAAATACCCTTTAGAAGTGGATGTAATGGCGCTTGTAAACAACTTGATGTACTGAATATCAACAGTGCAGTCAGGAACTTCTAACAGTAATTAGAAATTGACACCATAGTTATGACATGACAGTGGCATGGTACATTTTTTTCTTTTTGGGTGTGACTCAAGAATGTGAGAGCAGTTCTTATGGGATCTGCTTGCAACACAACAAAGAAATGCATCAAAATAAACAAAGATGTTTTATTAAGCTCTTGATGCAAACAGGGAGAATACAGACTTCCTTCCATGCAGTTCAGAGACTTAACTGCAGTTTGGTTTGAGACACTGACTGTATGAGAAGAATATGTTCATGTTGCAGCATAGGTGTATTCACCACACAGAACCTTTGATAAGGATAAACTACTGCTGCTGCACATTGTCTTAACACCCTGGACATTCTACATATTCTGACAATAATAGGATGCAAAACCAGGTACACATATATAGGACTTGTTTCTGGACAGATTCTAGCAATGACATTTCAATATTTAGCTACACTTTACATTTTCAAAACATATAATTGTGTCCAAAGGTTTTAGAATCTTCAAACCTCAAATAGCAGATATTTTCTGAAACAATTTATTTTCCAAACTTAAAATATGATCATTGAAGCATTTTCAGCTAACCTAAGAAGAAACCTATATAAAGAGAGATTGTATGTAGTGTTAACAAAATATTGCACGTAACACAAATTAAGAAATATAATTTACAAAGAAAATATTTATGGAACCCAAATTAATTTTACAGTCATTTGCTTAAAAGTGGCATCGTAAAATACACTATGCCAAGTACTAACCACTAAGCATGCTAAACCTCCCCACTAACACCCAGATGTTTCCAACAGAAGACCTACTTGAACTGTCAGCTAATTACTTTTGTCTGTACTGAAGAGACATGTGAGGACAGACACATTCTGGTTACAAATAGATACTGACATGAAATTGACATGAAATAGATACTGATCAGTGTCATGCTTCTACTGCCCATTTACTCCAGCTAGTAACAATAGATAGGGAATATACAAATATATACAACAGTGGGTTACACCCATTTCAGAATAATGTGTAGTTTGGCAAATGTTTTCATGACATAGACTGGGGTTGAAAACCCCCGAGGAAGGTTGTAAACAGAGAGTAAGCTAATGGCCATGTACCAGTGTTGTAAGTAGGGTTTTATTAACCCAGGCCCACAACCTCTCGTTTTGTTTTCCTCCCAAACCCTGATATAAAAATTACTTACACCCACATTCTCAAATCTCAACTGACACAATCTCATATGTAATAATAATCTGAGACTTGCTACAGAACCAGACTTTTTGGACCATTTTATTGAAAAGGCAAGACAAGTTGTTTCAGGTTTTATAAATGCAAATATATTACATGGCACACTCATTCAAATGTGAACTCAAACAGAAATTGTCAAAGCACTTCTTGATAGAGTAACAAATTAACTGAGCAGTTGAAAAAACAAATAACATTTAACAAACAATAGAAATAAATATGAGGTGCCTTCTCAAACCGTGCCTCTCTCACACAATCTGCAATGTGTAAGGATTCATACCATGCAACCTTATCACTCATAACCTTCAATGTCATTTACATGTGTAAAATCATGTCTGTACATTTCATGTAAAAGTAACTTTGTTCCAAAAATATCTGTACAGAGACTAGATGATATATCATTGTCTAGGTGGCGATCGCATGAATCCACTTATTGGGGGTGGACCTACCATTGCCGGTTGTTGCCCCTGGGGTGGGGATTGCATTGGGGGCATCCCCATAGCGGGCATCCCCATAGGGGGTGGTCCCTGCATGGCAGTGGGAGGGTGCATACCAGGGCTGAAGGAGGGACCTGCGGAGGGGTTTTGTCCCCGGGAAAAGGGACCTGGGGAGAACCCTGGGGGTGGTTGTCTAGGAATTCCCTGGGGTGGTGACCCGAGGGGTGGGGGACCTGAGGGTACACTCATGGGAGGAGGCCCTAATGGTGGAGGACCAGCTGCTGCTCGTTGGTGTGCTCCCTCAGGGCCAGGCATCTGGGGTGCAATCCCAAATGGAGAGTACAGCTCCTTGAGGAACAACAGCACTGTGTCTTCCGACTCCCTGGAGACAACAAGACAAGGTGGTTACAACGATCTGTACAAATACTGCATCAGTTGGCATTATAGTTGGTGACAATACAGGCACAATACTTTATGGATGACAACTTCTGTAAGATATTACGATGCGAAGTTTCAGTAAGAATGTTCCAGTTTAGACTGTTATACTGTCATCAGTCAAGACATTCTTACTGAAACGTCACATCGTAATATATTAAAGATGTTATCATCCAAAGTATCTTTACTGTGGTATTATCACACTAAAAATTCATGCTCATTATCAGATCCATGAATTAATTCTCATCATCAAGGTCTAGCAGTGGAAATAGGCAAGCTACTACACTATCACTGGTACTCAAGGTTAATGTGAAGAGCCCATTTCAACAAAATGGTGCATGAATGACAAAGTACCAACATTTACTTCCCCTATCTACATTCTCTGTATTTTAAAACTAACTAGCCAAGCAGATCAATAATTGTAATAACTGTACCATTCAAGCTAATCATTAATCTCACCCCTGGTTCTAGCACTCATACAGGACGACATGTTTGTGACTTCATGTTCAAATGTACAAATCCTCAAGGAAATAGTGAAAACAAATGGACTGTAGGTCTCAATGTAGGTCTTCTTTAGAACTACAGAGGGAAGATCATCCTGTTGAAGATATCCTTCACTCAGGGAATACTGACAACAATGTAATTTTCTGAATAAAATTGATATTTTATACTTATCCTGACTCATGCTATTTTGCTTGTCTTCTTCTTCTTGCGAACACAGTGGAACACTTGTATCTCCCAATTGAAGCTCCCTTCAATGTAAAATCACTAATTAGTACTCACCAAGAGCTGTCTCCCTCCCAGCCATTTGTGCGGGAACGAGGGCGCCACCTCTTGCCACATGCCTCACTCTCTCCTTATATAGCGAGCCCAACACTTGAATTTTCAGGGAAATCCAAAGTGTTATGTGGGGAGGATGGGAGGGCTTACCTCATGAGTCAGGATAAGTATAAAATATCAATTTTATTCAGAAAATTTCATATTTTTCCTTATCCTGACTCATGCTATTTTGCTTGTAGAATCCTACGGATACGGAGGTGGGAATACAGATTACTTTGGTTTTAGATAATTAGTGATTTGATAACTGTAATAACTGTAATAACCCCTATGGGAACTTCATAAAGGCACTGAATTGATAATTCCTGCTGTTAAGCTTATCAGCTGCCATATATGGGTTACTACAATATATAGATATTATGATGAACATAAATAAACTACTCCTAATGGAGAAGTTAACTAAAGTATTTACAACATGAATACTAGGCTTAAGACTAAGATAGACTTAAGCTTGATAATATAATAGCATAAACTTCATAGAGTTGTTAGCTAATGATACTGTTATGATATAACAAACATAGTACTGAGCTTAAGATTATGATTGGACTTAAGCTAAAATATATAATAGCATAAACTTCGTGGAGTTATTAGCTATATAGTACTGTTGTGAAATAAGCAGTAAAAATCTCGTAAGATTGACTTATCTTCTCCGAGGGACTGTCAACTGCTGTGCGAGGACCATGGGACTGAAATGGTGAATACCTGAGACGTCCTCGGTGGTGATATCTCTCAGATAGTGGTTGGCAAACACCATATCGGATCTCCAGAAGCAGCCCTCCATGATGGTATTCAAAGAGCAATTGCCGTGTAGAGCAAATGTTGAAGCTAGAGCTCTAATTTCATGTGGATTAGATGCTCTTGTAGGGTCGAGTCCTGCAGCCTTGTAGGCGTAGTATGACAGTTCTGATCCATATCGAGATACTTTGCATTGAGACTTCAGTCTGTATAGCTGTCGATAGAGGTATGAATAATCGTTTGAGTTTTTGTAAGCCTCGGTTTGGATCAGCCGTAGATATATTTTCAGTGCTCTGACTGGGCATAATGATAGATCCAGTGTATCATGAGGTCCGAGAATTGATGAGAGAGCTGGGACGTGAAATAAACTGTCTGGTTGACCTGGCAACTGGTTCTTGGCGATGAAATCCCAGCGTAGTCCCGTATGCACGATGTTATGATTGTCATCAAAGCGTGTTCTCTCGTAATCTAGTACTGAATCTCTGACATCCTGGCTGCTGTTGCTAGGGATAACAGGAACAAAGTTTTCTGTGTCAGAAATTCGAATGATGTTGATTCCAGTGGTTCATATGCCTCACTTGTGAGGTGTTGGAGCACTATATTTAGATCCCATGCTGGAGCGCGAAATCTCTGTTTCTGATCTTCCAATCGGAATGCACGTAGTAAGGCCAGTAACTTTGGGGTCTTCGTCAACTTGACACCCATTCTCATAGTTATGACGGAGCTTATAGCTGCGAGATATGTTGATAATGTTGAGCCTTTTAGACGTTTAGTCTGTCGTAGGTAACATAAGTAGTCAGCCACTTGTGGATGTGTAGCATATCTAGCTGTAAATCCTTTCTTTGCAGCATAATTTTCAAAACTGTGCCACTTGTCATCGTACAAGTTGCGAGTGGAGTTGCGTAAGGCAAGCGTGACTGCTTTCGCCGCTCTGGCTGAATAACCTCTCTTGTTTAGACACGCCTTAATATAGAAGGCGTCCATGCGCTTGTTTGGTGTGAGGATGTATTAGTAGACTCGAGCGCTTTGGAAGTTGTAGTATTGGTTGTCCGATTTCTTGAATAAGAGTTGGAAACCACGTTCTCGCTGGCCAGTAGGGCGCGACCAAAATCATTTGGAGGCTCCAAGTTTGCTTGATTTTCTGTAACACCTGTGGGATTAACGCTGGTGGCGGGAACGCGTACACGTTGAGTCCTTCCCACGATATGCTTAGTGCGTCCGTTGCCCATGCTAGTGGGTCTGGGACTGGTGATACAAATGTTGTAAGCTGATTGTTGAAGCGAGTGGCAAATAGGTCTATTAGTGGAGCTCCTATTTTCTTGATAATTTGTGCGAATATCTCTTATGGAGCATCCATTCTGTCGGCGATGGTAGGTGTGGCCGAGAGAGAGCGTCTGCTATTACATTCTTTGCTCCTGGAATGTGACATGCTCTGACATGTATGTTGAGATTGTCGATTAGATCGAACAATTGAAAACATAGAGTCAATAGGTTCGGGGACCTGGTTGAGCCTTGTTTGTTCACATAAAACGCCACTGTTGAATTGTCTGTGTGAATCATCAATTGGGCATTCTTTAGTAAGTTGCTCCAATGATGTATGGCGTTTACTACTGCTTGCATTTCTAGCAAGTTTATGTGTAGTTTGCTCTCTTGATTGCTCCATAACCCTAATGCCGTCCTGTTGGGAGTGTGCTCCCCAGCCTTGGAGCGACGCGTCTACATAGAGATGTGTTTTCAATTCCGGCTCTATTAAAAAGATTCCATCGCAAACATTCGATCTCTTGGTCCACCATAGTAGGTGAGGTTTGACGTGATTCGGTAGACTGAATGGTTGAGGGTCGTCGAGATGAGAGTTGATGAGGACCTGTAACGGACGTAGCTGTAGTCTGCCTTTGACTGTCATGTCTTGAGCTGACGTGAGTAGACCCAACAGGCTCTGCCATTGTCGTAGTGGTAGCGGAGAGAGTAAGGATTGAGGGATTGTCTGTTGGATCTTGATCCATCGGTCCTCCAGTACGACGATACGATTCTGCGCCGTGAGAAATCGAATGCCTAGAAATTGCAGATCTTGCGTAGGTTCTAGGTCCGACTTGAGTAGATTTACTAACCATCCTAGCTGTGTTAGTAGCTTGATGATGAAGTTTAACTGTAGTCTGAGACGCTGTGGAGATCTATGCTGGCCATGTAGTCTCTGGGACTAATTAAGTGCCGTAATTGTGGTAGGCGTATCATGCGAAACGCTGGCGGTTTGCGTAGATAGTCTCTGTTGAACATGCTCATATTGTACATGAGACGAAACGTTTCCTTGGAATTTTTCTTGGGCACTAGGAAAACTGGGGAGTAGAAGCCTGGTTCGATGTTTACTTGGTCCAGTACTTCTATGGCCTGCTTGGTTAGGAGCGTTGATACCGCTTCTCTTAACTTTGGTAGTTGTAGAGCCTGGAAGTCGAACCTCGGAGGGATGACTGTCAGCTGGGGCGTGGCCTGTAGTTGTATTTGATATCCGTGCTGTAGGATGTTGGAGACATATGGATCCTCTAGGAATCCCCAGTTTTCCCAGTGCAGTTGAAGGCGTCCACCCACTTGTGATGGTTGTACTGGAACGGCTGGGGGTGGAAGACTCCAACCGTTCCGAACCTGTCCTTCATCGTTAATAGTTGCGGGAGCCTCTGCATGACCTGCGTCTTCCAGATCCTCCCCTGTAATTGCCGTATGGGTGGCGAAAGACTCTTTTGCTCCTCTTACACTTGCCATCTTCCTGTCCCGTGCTTTCTGTAGACCGGAGAACTTCGATTTGCCTGAGTACCTCTGCGAAGTTCGTCTGATGACGCTTGCTAGCGTACCCATAGACTTTATCATGAGTACCTCTCTTGAGTCTTTAGAGACTTCTTTAGAGACTTTATCTATGTTTCCATCAAAGATTGACGGTGATGACCACGGGGCTGTGTGGAGTGATGCGGTGAAGTTATCACCCCAATTACAGGAGGCGAGACCTTGACGACGAGCCATAGCTATAGCTGCGGATAGTGCTGTCAAGTGATCCGTTAGGAACTGCTGGTCCTTCTTCTGCATGAGGAGGGCCGAGTAAATCCTCCTGTCGTCCTCAGATGTAGAGTCTCTGAACTTCGTGAGGAGAGTTTCGTTGACTGTTCTTGATCTGTTCAGACCAAAGAACATCCTCCTTGACATGGTTTCCATCTGGACTAGCTTGCGGTCATCTATTCTGTAAGTCTTGGACTTGGCATCACTGATCATCTTATAGTTATCATCGATATCTTGTGCCTTGTAAAAAAGGGTCCATGTTGTGACCTGAAATGCAGCACATGTGGTGTCTGTGATTTCGTGGCTTTACTAAAGGCTGTATCCAGATAAGCTGGCACCGCTGCTATCGGGTCAATCGGAGGTAAGGTGATTGTGTCAGCATCATCTTCCTTCATAAGATATGTGTGGGCTGATTTCTCGTTCTTAGACGGGGAGGATAGTTCCAGACTATTCACCATCCAGTATCTTATTTCTGCGTCGGAAAATACGATACCATCTTCATCTTCTGACATCGGGTCACAGATAATGTGTTGATGCTCCTCCGATAGTGACTGAGGTGGAGTCCTTGATGATCTGTACGGGGATCGACGAGGTGATCGTGGTGAACGGACTGACGAGTGGCGTCTATAAGGTGACCTTCGCGAAGCTCTCGGTGAATCCCTTGATGATCTTCTAGATGAGGATGACTTGGAGCCACTTAACCTTCGTGAAGGTTGAGAGTCGGAGTCGGAGTAATGGGATGAGAGGAACTTGCTTCGCGAACGTCCTCTCTGGTCATCAAGGTCCGAGGTAGGTGAAGCAGTCGTCCTTTGTGAAGCCTTCCGTGAATGCTGAGGATCAGAGTCCTTCGTGGAGGCGGGCTGGGTCGCCCTTCGCGGAGGCGTGTAAGCGGGCTGGGTCGCCCTCAGGCGCTGTGGCAGGCTGTGTGAGCCGAGCTGGGTAAGCTCTACGAGCGCGTGTGGCGGCTGGGTAAGCCCTACAGCTGAGGTGGTGGAGGCGGGCTGGGTCGCCCTTCGTGGAGGTGGCTCTAGAGGCCTCTGTAGACCGTAGCGATCTTCCATCAACTTCATTATGTGGTTCATCAGGTCGTCTGGGACGGTCTGTGCTGAAGTAGTTGCTGCCTTTTCTACGATGGTAGTGACGGGACCCTCAGGAAGATTCTCTGACATCAGTGTAGGTGCCTCAGACTGCGTGCTGATCTGCGCTGATGTTATAGTTGCCAACACTGGCCGCTTCTTCCGCCGTAAATCTGGTATGATGATCGGTTGATCATCATCATACAGGCCCAACTCTGCAACGGGAACAATCTCGGCTGAGAAAGTACTGCTGGATTTCTTTGATTTCCCCTTTGACGTGGATGTAGCCCTGGGGGTGCGGAGTCTGCGTTGTGACGAGGTGGAAGCCCTCCTAGTCTTTGGCTGCGACGACGGGATGTCCGGGGATGCAGGTCGCTTCTTGGAGATAGCGGACTGCGTCCCACGCCTCTCCTCCGAGGGTAACTCTAGCGGAACACCAGACGGGAGGGGGTCGTCCGACAGCAGTAGACAGGGTAAGGGCTCCGGTGTATTAGCCATGGCTAAAATCTGTTTACGTGACCTATCTGCTGCGCATCTCAAGACGCAAAATAAATATTTATCAAAGGCAGAATTGGATAAATTAGTACAATAATTGCAACGTGAAACAGTAGAGCATGGCGTAAGTACAACTAGGGCATATTAAATGCTTGGTCAGCAGCAGAAAAGCGTAATTTACAAATAGTGCAGATTTTCATCAAGCGCAATCTACTGAACAAACACGGAGTCCCGTGAATAAAACAGCAGAAACACGAATAAATATCAATGCATTATGTTGAAGGATACTAGCTACACCTCTATAGAAGCCTATGAGAGGTAAATAACTAAGAATAAACAAAGGATATAATGTGTAGGGAGACACAGGCGCTCTCACATCCTGCTCACTGGGCGAAGAAGGAGAGAGTGAGGCATGTGGCAAGAGGTGGCGCCCTCGTTCCCGAGCAAATGGCTGGGAGGGAGACAACTCTTGGTGAGTACTAATTAGTGATTTTACATTGAAGGGAGCTACAATTGGGAGATACAAGTGTTCCACTGTGTTCGCAAGAAGAAGAAGACAAGCAAAATAGCATGAGTCAGGATAAGGAAAAATTATGTTTTTCTGATGCTCTGACTGAGACACTGATGTGGACAAGAGAAGACTCTCACCAGTAACATCCATGACTGGCCAGGGCAAACAGGTAGTCGTTGAAGCTCTCTATAGGTTTCTCTTGCAACACAAAGTCCACTCGCCGGCCTTCATTCAGCTGCCCCATACACAGGTCATCATCATGGCTGGAGGCTACAGCTGCACAACAACAAACAGTGGAGATACACTCAGTGGGATTCAGATACCGTGTCAGCTTCAGGTATGTTGCATCACCTTGATCACAGCTCTGCTTCGCATAGTGATCGTAGAAGTCTACATTAAAGTGTTTAAGTTACAACAGGCACAGATATCTCTGTTAAGGGAATCATAGGAGGCAGTCATAGTTACAATCACTTTGTGAAAACAGGCACAGATATCTCTGTTAAAGGAGTCATAGGAGGCAGTCATAGTTACAATCACTTTGTGAAAACAGGCACAGATATCTCTGTTAAAAGAAGTCATAGTTACAATCACTTTGTGAAAACAGGCACAGATATCTCTGTTAAAGGAGTCATAGGAAGCAGTCATAGTTACAATCACTTTGTGAAAACAGGCACAGATATCTCTGTTAAAGGAGTCATAGGAGGCAGTCATAGTTACAATCACTTTGTGAAAACAGGCACAGATATCTCTGTTAAAGGAGTCATAGGAAGCAGTCATAGTTACAATCACTTTGTGAAAACAGGCACAGATATCTCTGTTAAAAGAAGTCATAGTTACAATCACTTTGTGAAAACAGGCACAGATATCCCTGTTAAAGGAGTCATAGGAAGCAGTCATAGTTACAGGGTCCTCTTGCACATAGCGATCTTAGTATTGTGATTATCTTACATGTATGTTAGAATATGGGACTTACATCATCTTAATGCTAAGATTGCTTTGTGCAAATGGACCAGGAGCATGAAGCTAAGTCAATCCTTAAGGGAGTTAGACCTGATAAAAGTCTGTCCTGGTGATATGAACATATCCTGAACAGACACCTTGAAGCCTCTTAAGGTTTGGTTTGGTTGTTGTTTAACGCCGTACTCAGCAATGTTCCAACTATATGGCGGCGGTCTGTAAGTAATCGAGTCTGGGCCAGACAATCCAGTGATCAACAGCATGATGATTATTGATCTACACAACTGGGATATGATGGCATGAGTGAACCAAGTCAGCGAGCCTGACCACCCAATCCCGTTAATCGCCTCTTGTAAACGACAAGCATGGGTTGCTGAAAGCCTCTTAAGGACTACAGAAGTACATACAAGACACATTTGATTAGAAAGGGGTCAGTTATCAGTATTTATGTTCATGTTACAGTTGAGATTGAAAGGTACTGATGTTTAGTCATCAGGTCATCGTGTACTGCCAGACTCACATCCGGTCTCCAGCTTGTCCTCCTCACTCTGCTGCAGCTGCTGGATGACGCTGGTCATCTCCTTGTCCACCTCCTCCTGCAGGCTCTCCGGGGTCGGGGCTGCACGGTGCGCCATCGCAAAGTCATGGATGGAGTTCCATGTGCTCCTCAGGGAGTCCATCAACTTGTTCTTCAGGTCATGTCCTACCCGAGTTAAACTCTCTCTCAGTTCTGCAATACAGAAACATTCACAGTACATAGCTTGGATTTACACTGTTAGTTTTTGAAATAGTTATAGCATCAGTAATGCTCAAGGATTCTGAACAGTGAAGAGTCATTTCTGGAAAAACAGAGTTTAAATGAATGATTATTTCAGGAGAATTGGCAAACTATGCTTCAACAACTGCCGTCTCAGTCGACAATATTTACTGTATATCACACTGACCTGCAGTATATATAGTCTGAGCGAGTTCACTGAGATGTTGAAAGCCTGAGTCACAAACATCTCCATCAGGGCCTATAGTGACATATAGTCAGTCAACCTGGCCCGACCAGTCAGGGCCTATAGTGACATATAGTCAGTCAACATGGCCCGCCCAGTCAGGGCCTGATTACATTCAATCAGCCAACAATCCGTGACATCATGGCTTGATGACATCAATTAGCCAGGACCACCAAAACCACCATGGTAGCCTCTTACTACCACCAGTAGGGTGATAGACCCATTGCTTACACTAGAGGTGTGACGATATCGAAATGTCACGATACGATACGTATCGCGATATCTTGGAACGATACGATTTCGATTCTATGCGTATCATGATATGCTATCTTTAGTTATTTTCTTTAAAAAAAATGAAATTTTTAGAGTAAAATTAATATTTTATACTTATCCTGACTCATGCTTATTGCTTGTCTTCTTCTTCTTGCGAACATAGTGGAACACGTGTATCTCCCAATTGAAGTTCCCTTCAATTAAAAAATCACTAATTAGTACTCACCACGAGTTACCTCCCTTCCACAAGCGCGTGAACGAGGGCGCCACCTCCACCCATGTGCCTCACTCTCTCCTTTTGTTTCGAGCCCGACACTTTATTTTTCCGAAGAAATCCAAAGTGTTAAGTGGGGAGGACGGGAGGGCTTACCTCATGAGTCAGGATAAGTATAAAATATTAATTTTACTCTAAAAATTTCATATTTTTCCTTATCCTGACTCATGCTTATTGCTTGTAGAATCCGACGGAAAAGGAGGTGGGAATATATATACTTTGGATTTTAATAATTAGTGATTTGAACTGTGATGATTGTAATAACCCTATGGGAACTTCATAAAGGCACTGAACTGATGAATTCCTGCTGTTTAACTTATCAGCTGCCATATAAAGGTTATTACAATTTATAGAATATGATAAAAGTATATACAACATTAATGTAAGCTGAAGCTATTAATGTGATAATATAAACTTCTGTGAGTTTATAGTGGATACTTTTATAAATTAACCAAAGTATTAAGCTTAAGATATGCATATATTTAAGCTATAATAGTATAGTATTGTGCTTAAGATATAATTATAACTTAAGCTGTATAATAGTAACCAACTCCTTAGAGTTTGTTAACAAATACATTTATGCATATGACCATATGACTGAGCTTAAGGATTGATGAAACTTAAGCTGAACATATATATATAGTAGCAAAACTCCTAGGAGTTGTAAGCTTATATATAGTATGATATAAAACCATAGTACTGAGCTTAAGATAATAAATTAAACTTAAGCAAAATATATAGATAGCATGTAGCTATTAGTACTGTTATCAGATAAGTATAAAATCTGTAAGATAGACTTATCTTCTCCGTGGAACTGTCAACTGTTGAGCGAGGACCATGGGACCGAAATGGTGGATACCTGAGACGTCCTCGGTGGTGATATCTCTCAGATAGTGGTTGGCAAACACCATATCGGATCTCCAGAAACATCCCTCCATTATGGTATTCAACGAGCAATTCCCATGTAGAGCGAGAGTTGAGGCTAGCGCTCTAATTTCGTGAGGATTAGAAGCTCTTGGAGGGTCGAGTCCTGCAGCCTTGTAGGCACGTAGTATGACAGTTCTGATCCAGATAGAGATCGTAGTACGTGAGACTTCCGTCTGCGTAGCTGTAGATATAGGGATAAATAATCTCTTGAATTTCCCTCTGCTCTGTTTGGATCATTGGAGATATATTTTTAGTGCCCTCACTGGGCATAGTGATAGATCCATCGTATCATGCGGTCCAAGTATGGATGAGAGAGCTGGGACGTGAAATAATCTGTCTGGTTGACCTGGCAGTTGGTTTTTCGCTATAAAATCCCAGCGAAGTCCCAGATGAGCTATGTTATGAATATCCTCAAAGCGTATTCTCTCGTAATCCAAAGCGTGAATTTCTGACATCCTGGCGGCCGTAGTTAGCGCTAACAGGAATAAGGTTTTGTGGGTCAGTGATTCAAACGATGTAGATAGCAATGGTTCATAAGCCTCACTAGTGAGGTGTTGGAGCACTATATTTAGATCCCAGGCTGGAGCGTGAAACTTCCGTTTCTGATCCTCCAATCGGAACGCTCGTAACAAAGCGAGTAACTCTGGTGTTTTTGTTAACTTGACGCCCGTTCGCATAGTTATGACAGAACTTATGGCTGCAAGATAAGTGGACAAGGTTGAGCCTTTTAGATTCTTAGTTTGCCGTAGATAACATAAGAAATCTGCCACTTGAGGATGTGTAGCATATCTGGCTGTAAATCCTTTCTTAGCAGCGTAATTGACAAAACTGTGCCATTTGTCATCGTACAAGTTACGAGTTGAGTTACGTAGTGCAAGCGTGACCGCTTTAGCCGCTCTGGCAGAATAACCTCTCTTATTCAGACATGCCTTGATACAATCCATACGTGAAGTTGGAATGCTTCTGGTGTTTCGTGCACTTGTTTGGTGTGCGGATGTATCAATAGATTGGCGCGTTGTGGGAGCTGAAGAATTGGTTTTCCCATTACTTGAATGAGATCTGGAAACCAAGTTCTTGCTGGCCAGTAGGACGCGACTAAAATCAGATGGAGGCTCTGCGTTTGACTGATTTTCTGTAAGACTTGTGGGATCAACGCTGGAGGCGGGAAAGCGTACGCGTTGAGTCTCTCCCACGATATGCTTAGAGCGTCCGTTGCCCATGCTAGTGGGTCAGGCACTGGCGACACGAATGTTGTCAGTTGCTTGTTGAATCGAGTGGCGAATAGGTCTATCAGTGGAGATCCTATTTCCATGATTATTTGATTGAATATCTCTGTGTGGAGCATCCATTCTGTCGGCGACGGTTGGTGTGGCCGAGAGAGAGCGTCTGCTAATACATTCTTTGCTCCTGGAATGTGGCAAGCTCTGACGTGTATGTTTAGATTGTCGATTAAATCGAACAGTCTGAAACATCGAGTCAGTAGGTTCTGTGACCTTGTTGAACCTTGTTTGTTCACATAAAACGCCACTGATGAATTGTCTGTGTGAACCATCAACTGAGCGTTCTGTAGTATGTTGCTCCAGTGACTTATGGCGTTTATGACTGCTTGCATCTCTAGCAGATTTATGTGACATTTGCTCTCTTGATTGCTCCATAGGCCTGACGCTGTCCTGCCAGCAAGGTGGGCTCCCCAAACTTGTAGTGACGCGTCTACGTAGAGATGTGAGTTCGATTCCGGCTCTACTAAGGAGACGCCTGCGCAAACATTCAATCTCTTGGTCCACCAGAGTAGATGTGGTTTGACATAATCTGGTAGACTGAATGGTAGAGGGTCCTCGAGATGAGCATTGATGAGGACTTGTAACGGACGTAATTGAAGCCTGCCTCTGACTGTCAAGTCTTGAGCTGATGTGAGTAGTCCCAATAGGCTCTGCCACTGTCGTAGTGGTAACGGAGAGAGTAGGGCTTGAGGAATAAGTTGTTGGATCTTGATCCATCTGTCCTCCGGGACTACAATACGATTCTGAGCTGTTAGAAATCGTATACCTAGAAATTGCAGATCTTGCATTGGTTCTAGGTCCGACTTGAGTAGATTTACTAACCATCCTAATTGTGTTAGTAGCTTGATTATAAAATTCAGCTGTAGACTGAGACGCTGTGGATCTGGATCCACTTGTATACCGTCGTCTAGGTAAAAAGAGCTGCGAAGACCTTGACGATGTAGGTATGAGACAATAGGCTTGGTCACTCTTGTGAATACCCAAAGGGCCGATGTGATTCCGAAGGGAAGAACCTTCCATTGGTAATGTTTCCCGTCTAGGATAAATCTTAGATATTTCCTTGAGTTGGGATGAATCGGAATGTGTAGATATGCGTCTTGCAAATCTATGCTGGCCATGTAATCTTTGGGACGAATTAAATGCCGAAGTTGCGGTAAGTGTATCATGCGAAACGTTGGAGGTTTGCATAGATATTCTCTGTTGAAGATGCTCATGTTGTATATGAGACGAAACTTCTCCTTGGAATTTTTCTTCGGCACTAGGAAAACTGGGGAGTAGAAACCTGGTACGATGTTTCGTTGATCCAGAACTTCTAAGGCCTGTTTGTTTAGTAGAGTAAGTACTGTTTCTCTTAACATAGGTAGTTGTGCCGGTTGAACGTTGAACCCTGGGGGGTTGACTGTTAACGGAGGCTTGGCCTTGAGTTGTATTAGATATCCGTGCTGTAGGATGTTGGATACATATGGATCTTGTAGTATTCCCCAGTTTTCCCAGTGTAGCTGAAGGCGTCCACCCACTTGAGACGGTTGTACTGGAACGGCTGGGGGTGGAAGACTCCAGTCGTTCCGAACCTGAATTTCATCGTCTAAATCCACGGGCACCTCTGGATGATCTGCCTCTAGCTGATCCTCCCCTAAATTTGTTGTATGGGCGACGAAAAGAATTCTTGGGATCTTTAGCTGCAGCTAATTTCTTGTCCTTTCTGTAGCCCCGAAAACTTAGACTTGCCTGAGTATCTCTGTGTTGACTGTTTAATGACGTTCGCTAAGGTATCCATGGATCTGACCATAAGAACCTCTCTTGAGTCTTTAGATACTTCTTTGGAGACCTTGTCTATGTTGCCACCAAACAGTAAGGGCAATGACCATGGAGCTGTGTATAGAGATTCTGTAAATTGCTTATCCCAAGAGCAGGAGGCTAGTAAGCCTTGCCGACGAGCCATGGTAGTAGTTTCAGTAAGCGCTGATAGGTGCTCTGTAAGAAATTGGTGGTCTCTTTTCTGCATGAGTAGAGCTGAGTAGATCATTCTATCTTCCTCCTCTGTAGAATTCTTGAACTTGGTGATGAGAGTTTCATTAATCGTTCTAGATCTATTCAATCCAAAGAACATCCTCCTGGCGATGGTATCTAGTTGAGCGAATTTGCGATCGTCTACTTTGTAACTTCTGGACTTGGCATCGCTGATTAATTTAAAGTTGTCATCAATATCCTGGGCCTTGAAAAAGGGGTCCATATTGTGTCCAGCAAATTTCTTGGCATTGAAGACCGGGAAATGTGTAGATTGGACTTTTGAAGATTTGGAACAGGCTGTATCCAAATTAGCTGGTACCGCTGCAATCGGATCAATAGGAGGTAAGGTGATATTGTCTACATCATCATCCTTCATCAGGTAAGTCTGAGTTGAATTCTCGTTCTTCGATGGGGAAGCAAGTTGTAACTCATTCACCATCCAGTATCTGATCTCAGCATCTGAGAAAATGATACCTTCTTCCTCTGATGTAGGGTCACATGTCGGAGTCCTAGATCTGTAGGAAGATCTATGAGAGGACTGTGGTGAACGGACTGACGAGTGGCTAGTGTAAGGAGACCTTGGAGGAGACATCCTCGGCGAACGCTGGGGACTTCGCGAAGCTCTTCTAAATCTTCTGGGCGAGGTAGATATGGAGCCACTTAGCCTTCGCGACCTTCGCGAATGTATCGAGTCAGTGTCCGAATCGACATATGAGCGTTTGCTTTAAGAACGACCTCTGTGTTCTACAGGGTGTGGGCTCGGCGAAGCGCTCCTTCTCCGCGATGTCCCTCGCAACTGAATAGGCTCTAGCTCCTTCGCGAAGGAGGCCTGGGACTTCCTTTGGGAAGTGATCGCTACGGGCTGGGTTGCCCTTCGCGGAGGCGCGTTTGTGGGCTCTGGGGCCCTACGCGAAGCCAAGGGGGCCCTGTATGACTTATTAAGTGTTGGGCTCTGGGGCCCGTGGCTCTGGGGCCTCTGTAAACCGTAACGGTCCTCCATTAGTCTCATGATTTGGTTAACCAGGTCGTCTGGGACAGTCTGCGCTGGCGTTGAGGGTGGCCTCTCTGTGAAAGTGATGGGACCCTCAATCGTAAACTCAGGCGTCAGCGTAGGCATCTCTGGTTGCGTGTTTATCTGCGCTGTTGTGACGGTAGCAGATACTGGACGTTTCTTATGACGTACATCTGGAATGATAATCGGAATGTCATCATCATATAAACATAATTCTGAGACAGGTAGAATATCGGAGGCAAAATTATTTGTAGTTTTCGTAGATTTCCCTTTTGACGAAGCTGTGGACCTGGGGGTTCGAAGCGTACGTTGAGATGATGTGGACGCTTTCCTAGTCTTAGACTGAGAAGACGGAATGTCTTGAGATGCAGGTCGCTTCTTGGACATAGCGGACTGCGTCTCATGCTTATTCCCCTAGGGAAACTCCGGCATGCCACCAGCCGGTGGCGGGTCGTCAGTCAACAGTTGACAGGGTATAATAGCTTCCGATCTAGTAGCCATGACTGAAGATTGTTTGAGAGATTTATCTGCCTTCCGTCTCAAAACAGAACATAATATTTATCAAAGGCAGAAACTGGTAAATTAATACATAATTTACAACGAGAAACAATAGAACATGGAGTAATGCAACAAGGGCATTTTAAATGTGGATCGGTAGCAGAGTAACGTAGTTTACAACCTGTGCAGATTCTCATGAACGTAAACTGCTGAACAAACACGGCGAACCGTGAATAAAACAGCAGAAACACGACTAATAATCAATGCAAGTTGAATAAGGATACTAGTTACACATCTATAACTGAATATAAGAGGTACTAAACTAAATATAAATAAAGGATATAGTGTGTTGGGAGACACAGGCGCTCTCACGTCCATCTCACTGGGCGAAGAAGGAGAGAGTGAGGCACATGGGTTCAGGTGGCGCCCTCGTTCCCGAGCTTGTGGAAGGGAGGTAACTCGTGGTGAGTACTAATTAGTGATTTTTTAATTGAAGGGAACTTCAATTGGGAGATACACGTGTTCCACTATGTTCGCAAGAAGAAGAAGACAAGCAATAAGCATGAGTCAGGATAAGGAAAAATGTATATTTTGATAGCAAGTAACAGTCAATTTCTAGTGAACATTAACAATTTTAAGGCCAACGATACATATCACGATACGGACAAAAGGATTGACGTATTTATCGTCAGATAAAGTATCACGATTATTGATACTGTGATGTATCATCACAGCTCTAGCTTACACCCAAGTCCTACATGATTGCAATAAACCACCTTCTGATACTGATGCAGTACTGACCTAGATGTAGCCTCTTTCGGCCCTTGTGGTGCGGTATAAGGACTGGCTTGATGCTGCTGGCCGCTGGGTTGACCAGCGGCTCCAGGCGGTAGGCAACCGGGTCAAACTGAAACAACAGATGGATTCTTGCTTAGGTTTTATGTCATGGCGATAGAAATTACCACTACTTTCTGGTCTTACAAGATATGAATGTGGCATAAGTCATTTCAACCACAAAACTATTCATTTGTATTTGTGTTTGTTCTGTGCACACTCACGGGATGGAAGATGTTGAAGACGCGGGAGCAGGTGGGCAGCTTGAACTCCTCCCCCACGTTGTCCACCCCCCGGACAGACAGGAACACTCCGATCGGGGAGCCCATTGCAAACAGTCCACATGGCTTGAAGTCCAGCTGTGGATACTGCACGATGGGCTGACCAGTTCCAGCCAGGCCACAGATGTAGTCCACGGATATACTGGAGGTCCGCTCCAGCCGCCTGGAACACACCGTACAGAGTCACAGGAATCAGCATTCAATAGTCATATATTCTTCCACAACCCATGGAGACATTGGTATAACAAAATCAGAACATGAAACATTACACAAAACACACATCCCCTAAACTGACGAGACTTAAACCATATCTGTACAGGTTATTAGGCACTGTTGAATCATGGGAAATCATCCATGTATCTTATCACAGTGATAGTCACAGAAATCTGTCCATACTTTAATGGTCAAATTACTTCAGAATATCTCAAAGCTACCAATCACTACCATCCCCCAACTGCTTCACTTACATGTTGCCTGAATGCTTATATTTGTCTTCTTGCCGGGCTTTCTGTTCTTCTGCTGCCTTCTTCTCCGCTGCTTCTCTGGCAAGTTGCTCAGCCTGCCGTTTCTTCTTCTCCTACAGTGTCAAGTTTACACATCCACCATCATTGTGGTTCCAACACAATCTTGTCCACAATAATATCAGCACATGTCACTATATCATCCTAAAGTAGCTTCCTTGGAAGATATTGCTTGGGCATAATAAACAAATATCTCCAAGGAATCACTAAATTCTCTGGCAATGAAAATGGTTAACTGCACTTTTACACTGAAGACACTGATTAATACTGTTTACAGCTGAAAAATGTTGAAAGAATGATCATGGATGACAACTAAAATCTCAGTCACATGTCTTTTGATTTCAAATACAGCTATATTTGTCAAAAAATAATTGAAACTCTGCTTAAGCATGCTTTGATTGACAAGTGTGTATTTATGCCATGCAAATAGCTAGATGAACCAAATTCTGTGACACCATCAAAGTGAAAGATCAAATGAGTTACCTCCTTCTCAGATTCTTCTTTCAAAATACCCTGCAGTTTTTTACGTGGTCCCATTGGAAGGCCAAGATCTTTCAAATCCGATTCGCTGCACATGATCTGAAAAGAGAGCACCAACAGATGTTGAAATTAGAAACGTCACTCAGTTTGAGGAAGTATGTAGTTTCATGACAAGTCCACAACAGCTGGGAGTACATTGTGACTAAAACCTCGGGCATGACATCTAGAGATATTCATCAGGGCCCTCTTGCAGAAAGCAATCTTGGCTCTGTGACTACCATAAGTCCATGTTAATGTCTGGGAGTCATGATCATCTACAATCGCTTCGTGGAACAGGACTCAGAAGTCCACAAAATGTAACGTCTTTGTAACGTGTACCTGCCGCTCTGATGCCTGAAGGAAACATGTCCTATTGGAGATATATCTACCTATATATCAGATAACTATCCTAGTTCTACGCCAGTTAAAATGTAAGGCATATGTGCTGTATGACGTACAGAGGAATGAATGTGGAAGTAAATGAATGTGAATATCTTTCAGTATATTTACTCTTCTGAACACCTTTGACCCGTGAAGATCCAGGGAAGAATAGGTCTTCAGCAACCCATGCTTGCCACAAAAGGCGACTATGCTTGTTGTAAGAGGTGACTAACGGGATCGGGTGGTCAGGCTCGCTGACTTGGTTGACACGTCATCGGTTCCCAATAGCGCAGTTCGATGCTCATGCTGTTGATCACTGGATTGTCTTGTCCAGACTCGATTATTTACAGACCGGCGCCATATAGCTGAGTGCAGCGCAAAACTAAACTCACTCACTCACTCTGAACACCTTTATTTTCAGTATAGCACATTTCAGTTAAGTAGTAGCATTATAATGTAAACAATAAGGCTGTAACGATTCACTCGCATATTCGGTGAATCGAACCATTGCCCTTTATGAATTCAATTCGTTATTCTTGGTCACCAGAACCGAATATGCATGAATATTTACAATTTTTAAGGGAGTGTGTTTTACTTGAACCCTTATGTCCTTTTTCAAAATGAGATATGCAAGAATGCATTATGTACTAGCCTTGTAGTAGCGCAAGTCATGTTAGTTTGCCAAGGCCACACATGGTACTGTCAACTTAACTATTACATACCAAATTTGAGTGTCATGAGATGACTGGTTATTGCCTGGACAAATTAACACTGTCAACATGGGCATTCAATATTGTGCATCAGTCATTGTATTCATGAATAATTATTCATATTCGTTACCCAATATTCGTGATACGTATCATATTCGCAAAATAGTGTATTCGTTACAGCCCTAGTAAACAATTCAATGAACCTGTAATAACTATTATGTGCTCCAATCTACCTACCAGAGATTCCATGTCTATCTGCTCCTGCTGGAACAACCCCAGTTTATCCTCAAGGCCAACTTTGGAGAGAAGTTCCTCCAGGGTCAGACTGCCTTGACATTCCTCACCATTTACATCAGGGGGGAGACAACTGCAATTAGACATGAGGAGACCAGACGTAGAGACATCACAGGATCACATTCCTTCTACTCTGGTGACACATAAAGATAGGACATTGTAACTGTTGGATATGCCTAGTGTTTAAAGCATTCACTCATCACGCTGAAGACCTGGGTTCGATTCTCCACATGGGTGCACTGTGTGAAGCCCATTTCTGCTCACTCACTCACTCTCATGTCGTAAAAATATCATGCATTCATAACATGTGCCAACCATCTGCTGAATCCCACTCCATCCCGATGACCTGGTGCAGGGAACAAGGTATTGAAGTAAGCACCTAGTTCCTACATCATTACAAATGCATCATGTACACATGGGCAAGACACCATAAGTCTGATAATTACCAAAATGAAAATGTTTGGAAAACAGCAATTGACTATTCCAACAACTTACATCTCAAGGCCAACTTCATAAGAATACCACATTATTTTACCCCACTTTGTATTTGTCTAAAACATACCTCTTCTGTTTCTGGTGTGTCAAGGTTGGGGGGATCCCCTGATGTGGCCTCTGAGCTGAAACTTGTCTCCTCGTCAGCCTCCAATCTCTGGTGCAGGAGGAGGTCAAACAGGATAGACGAACCTGCAAAACAGCAACACACTCAACACATGGACGAAGTTGCTGGAAACACACACACTGACGCCAGTAAGTGTAGACAGAGGAATGGACAGATGATGGACACAGATGAAAGACACATGGACACAGATGAAAGACACATGGACACAGATGATGGACACATGGACATAGATGATAGACACATGGACATAGATGATAGACACATGGACACAGATTATGGACACAGATGATGGACACATGGACACAGATGATGGACAGTACACATGGACACAGATGATGGACACATGGACACAGATGAACGACACATAGACACAGATTATGGACACATGGACACAGATGAACGACACATAGACATAGATGATAGACACATGGACACAGATGATGGACACAGATGATGGACACATGGACACAGATAATGGACAGTACACATGGACACAGATGATGGACACATGGACACAGATGAACGACACATAGACACAGATTATGGACACAGATGAACGACACATAGACACAGATTATGGACACATGATGATGGACACAGATGACAGACACATGGACACAGATGATGGACACATGACACAAATGATGGACACATGGACACACATGACAGGCACATGGAAACAGATGCCAGCTCATGTAGACAGAGGCATTGACACAGATGATGAACAGATATGACAGACACATGGACAAAGACGACACAGATCTTATCACAGATGGACACAACTCACCCAAACTGTGCCCAGCCACAGACACTGTGCCCTTGAATGATGGCGTTCTTGACAAGAAGAGTTGATACAATCTGTTCATCTCGTTACCAACAGTTCTGGATATAACCTGCAGCAAAGTAACAGTTGATACAATCTGTTCATCTCGTTACCAACAGTTCTGGATATAACCTGCAGCAAAGTAACAGTTGATACAATCTGTTCATCTCGTTACCAACAGTTCTGGATATAACCTGCAGCAAAGTAACAGTTGATACAATCTGTTCATCTCGTTACCAACAGTTCTGGATATAACCTGCAGCAAAGTAACAGTTGATGCAATCTGTTCATCTCGTTACCAACAGTTCTGGATATAACCTGCAGCAAAGTAACAGTTGATACAATCTGTTCATCTCGTTACCTACGGTTCTGGATATAACCTGCAGCAAAGTAACAGTTGATACAATCTGTTCATCTTGTTACCAACAGTTCTGGATATAACCTGCAGCAAAGTAACAGTTGATACAATCTGTTCATCTCGTTACCAACAGTTCTGGATATAACCTGCAGCAAAGTAACAGTTGATACAATCTGTTCATCTCATTACCAACAGTTCTGGATAAAACCTGCAGCAAAGTAACAGTTGATACAATCTGTTCATCTCGTTACCAACAGTTCTGGATAAAACCTGCAGCAGGTAACAGTTGATACAATCTGTTCATCTCGTTACCAACAGTTCTGGATAAAACCTGCAGCAGGTAACAGTTGATACAATCTGTTCATCTCATTACCAACAGTTCTGGATATAACCTGTAGCAAAGTAACAGTTGATACAATCTGTTCATCTCATTACCAACAGTTCTGGATATAACCTGCAGCAAAGTAACAGTTGATACAATCTGTTCATCTCGTTACCAACAGTTCTGGATAAAACCTGCAGCAGGTAACAGTTGATACAATCTGTTCATCTCATTACCAACAGTTCTGGATATAACCTGCAGCAAAGTAACAGTTGATACAATCTGTTCATCTCATTACCAACAGTTCTGGATATAACCTGCAGCAAAGTAACAGTTGATACAATCTGTTCATCTCATTACCAACAGTTCTGGATATAACCTGCAGCAAGGTAACAGTTGATCAGTCATGTAGAAGTGGACTAACGAGGTACAAAAGTACACTGACATCCCACCAAGATGTTACCACCCAGCGGAGTGAGTACTGACCTGGCAGTAGGAGGGACTAGTATAGAAGAGGATGTCCATCAGGGTGTCGTTGACGAAGTAACGCAGTTTGGGGGTGCTTGGTAGAGTGATTCCTTTCAGACGTCTGAAAAAATGCATTACATTTATATCGACATGTAACACACACTGATTCCTATGTCCAGCTCACCAACTGAAGGAGGGAAGTGACTGGGAGACGGTTGGGGAGCAATCCTAAGAATGAGGATGGATTTAATACTGTCTTCAACTACCTGTATACTTTAGTAATGTCAAACATTCAGCTGTGAATGGGTACCTCGTAAGGATGGGGAAAGCTACATTAACTTGGTGCGCCTAATGGCTGCACAAGTTGTATGCTCCCCAGGGAGTTGAGATTGAAAATATGATGTGCGTTGAGATTGACATCCAATGATGGAGGGAAAACAAAGCGCCTTTGAGCAGCTGAGCATAGAATGTATGTATGATAATTGAGGCCACCATGAAGTAACCCAGCATCCAAATTCAAAACAGAAGCTCAGGATATCAATGATCTTCATTAGGATTCTAAAACTACAACCAACAATATATTCTTGAATGCGAGTGACAAACTCTGCTCAACAAGTTGCTGTTAACCACTAGTAACGTTCAACACCACTGTGTCATGTCAAAGCTGTAGATCACACAAGTGATGTGGCCAGGTGTGTTACCTGTCGATGCCAGTAGCGTCCGAGTGAAGGGGAACTATGCCAGTGTACTGGGAGGAACTCCACACGATGTACCCGTCCCTCGGACTTGTACCGTTGGAAGTGGGAGTCAACTAGACCATGAGATATTGAGCGGAAGTCGTCCACTGGAACATGTACAACAATCAATTAACAACCAAACTAACACAACATCAACAACAAGCACCACTCAAGTCAACCTACAACAGGTTGTTCTCATGGCGCGCCCATCCAACCAACAGACCTAAAAGAGTTGTCTCCCTTTTGTCATTTCCTTCTATTCCAGAAGCATGAACAGATATCATGTTAGAGCAACCCAAGCATTATTTAACCTGTGACATACATATTCAGCATGTTCTATTCACAAACATTGTTAGCATATTATTGTAATTTTTGCAACAGCGGTAAGCATTCATATTCCAACTCACCACACTCCACCAGACTGCGAAACTTGACATCACAGTTGGCGCCGATGCCGTGGACGACAAAGACTAGATGATCTACATGAGGTGTCTCCCCTGTAAGTACAGAATGTTCCAAGTTCACGGAATGCCCCCGCCAAACATATTCATGAACATGCTTCAACCAGCATTCACAAGTTCGATAATAACAGGTTTTCAGTTCAAACAACAAATTCTTACCATCTGCTATGTTTTCAAAATCATCCACACCTCTCTTCACAACTCGGGGTCTCATCTGGTCTCCCTAAATATAAACAGATCTCGGTTAGAGCCCAGCACATTATACAAGACACATCATTAAACATTCTTCACAAGTAAAGGACACATTGTGTGTGAACTTAAAGACTTATATGATGACAATGTTGCCTACAATATTGCCTATTCAATACAATCAAATGATAGACTTACTCCACATCTAAATCATGAGTCTACAGACAGGTTCAATGATAGAATTAGTAAAATCTAAATATTTTTTATATTTGTATACTTATCCTGCACTACTTACTTCCTGCACTTATTGCTTACGGCTCGAAAAGCGTGGCTTGCCAGACGATGTCAAAAAGGCGTAGAACTGCAATCACTTCCTGGTCTCGGCTGCTTACTCGTCTGCGCATGCGTCACCGGAAGGTGACGTCAGCCACCTCAGATTATTGCTTAGAAATCCCACAGATGGCAAAACTAAGCGGGGAGGTAGCTGATAGCACAGGGTGGGCCCTTATCATAAGTAGTGCAGGATAAGTATACAAATATAAAAATATTTAGATTTTACTAAATTTTTAACTAATCCTGCACTACTTACTTCCTGCACTTTATCCGACAGGCTGGAAGGTGGGTGTCATCTGAGGATCGCCTACCGCCACGTAATAGCAGCCAGCTCAATCCGTAATCCCGTGCTCAAGGGAAGCGTTGATAACGCGCCTATAACAGAGAGCCAATTAGCGAAAGTGGCGATCAGGTAGCTGTAATTCGCAAATAAGACTGCGCCTTAAATGAAAGAACCCACTAATTTTAAAGCTGGCGAAGCTTAAGGAATGCAGCAAAAGCATGGACTTGAAAAAACAAGGATAACTCCTTAACTGACATACCTAGTTGTTTGTGAAGAAAACAACTCATTCCCCACATGGTGGTCCGTGGAAGGAAACACAAGGCAGGAGGGTCACTTTCTTGGGAATGGCGAAGTTGCTGAGCAACCACCAATGGTCGAAGCTGTGGACATCATTAACGTCCTTGACAGCCATGTCACGCAAGTAATGACTGGCAAACACTGTGTCCGACCGCCAAAAACAACCTTGCATAATGGATGACACAGTGCAATTACTGTGAAGTGCCATAGTCGAAGCAAGTGCTCGAATCTCGTGGGGATGAGAGGGTGTAGAGGTCCAGCCCAGCCGCTTTATCTCGCCTGAAGAATGGTTGTTCTTAACCATAAGGCAATAGTGTTTTTGCTGACATCTGACGACTGACGCCGGGACAGTGGAAGAAATAAACGCTTCCTTGTACCACGAACGCTTTGGTGCGATCAATGTAAGTTTTGAGCGCATCGAATCGGACATAACAGTAATTCCGCGATCGCCTTCAGAGCCAACAATAGATGATAATGGCGGGATGGAAAACTGGCGATCAGGTTGTCCTGGTAGTTGGTTTTAGCGATGAAATCCCAACACATACCTAAGTGCACAGAACCATGACGACGACGCTCAAACTTGATCCTAGTCACGTCAAGGCGTGAACCTCACTCACTCTAGCCGCAGTCGCTAATGACAACAGAAATGCCGCCTTCCTGGATAAATCAGCGAGGGAAGCGTTATCAAGAGGTTCATACGGTGCACCACGGAGATGGTCTAAAACAGTGTTGAGATTCCATGCCGGGCGTGGACTGAAACTTCTGGTCTTCAAGTCGGAATGAGCGAAGCATGGCCTGTAATTCTGGGATTTTGGAAATCCTTCTGTCAGTGGGAATCGCTAAAACAGAGCTAATTGCCGCCAAACACGTGGCAATGGTGCCTCCCTTCAGACGCCTGGACGCTCGGAGATAAAGTAAGAAATCTGCTATGAACTGAGGAGACACAGTCAGCGGATCCTGCTTCTTGGTAACACAAAAACGCTCAAACGACTGCCACTTGTCGTCATACAAATGTCTAGTAGAAGTTCTGTGCGCCGTCGCAATGGCTTTGGCTGCTCTAGCCGAAAAACCCTTAGCACTCAGTGCTTTCTGCAAATGGTCCATGCGTGCAGATTGAATCGGTCTGGAGCCGGATGCGGAAGACGGCTGTGAGGGTGCACTAGAACGTTCCTCCACGTGGGTAGAGGGAAGGGATCTCCTACCACTAGACTTTGTAGAACGGGAAACCAGTTCCTGGCTGGCCACCAAGGCGCGACCAAAATTAGTCGTAAGCAAGTTGTCTCCTTGACTTTTGGCAGAACTTTGGGTAATAGAACTGGTGGCGGAACGCATACGCGTGAAGTCCCTCCCATGATAGGTTGAGAGCATCCACCGCGTAAGCCGCTGGATCTGGGACTGGGGACACATACACTGGCAGTTGATGGTTTTGGCTGGTGGCAAACAGATCTATGTTTGGATAACCCAGTGCGTGACTTAAAAGAGTGAAGGCCTCCTTGTGTAGCATCCACTCCGTGGGAGCAACTCTGTCGGGTCTCGAGAGAGCGTCTGCTAGTATATTGCGGCACCCCGGAATATGCCGAACTCTCAACAGAATGTGGAGATCGTCGACCAGTTGAAAGAGCCGAAATGTCTGATCGAGGAGAAGCTGTGAGTGTGTCGACCTTTGCCTTCGTATGTACCATAACGACCGTGGAGTTGTCTGTAGCCACTAGAAGACAAGTTCCTGCCGTGAGTCGATGTGCCCAATGATGAATAGCGAGGATCACGGCCTCCAACTCCAGACTGTTTATATGCCAGTTGATGTGTTGACCCGACCACAGGCGGAGGCTGTCTGGTCGTGTAAGTGAGCGCCCCAACCCTGCAGGGGCGCCCACGAACAGTTGGCAATCCGAGGCTGCTCTGTCAAAGAGACTCCTCCTAAGACGCGTTCAATGGGCGAGTCCACCAAAGAAGATAGCGATGTAACTGAGGTGGAAGGCAAAACCGTTGATGAATGTCTGCCCGACGAATGTATGGTTGAAGAAAACGCTGCAGAGGACGAAGTTGAAGACGCCCTCTGCTGGTAAGATCCTGCGCCGACGTCAACAATCCCAGAAGTGACTGCCACTCTCTGAGGGACAGAGGTTGGGAGAGTGCACGTGGAATCAGAGACTGAATCTTGTCCCACCTGTCCAGGGGAATCTGAACTAGGTTCTTGTCCGTCTGGAAATGGCCTCCGATGAACGTCAGAGTGTGAGTCGGGACAAGCTCCGATTTGTCCAAGTTGACCAGCCACCCTAGTTGGCGCAACAGACAGGAAAGTCTCGTTGAAATAGGACAGATTGTGAATCATCCTCATTTTCGCGGACCCTTTCTTCGGCACTAAGAATATTGGAGAATAAAACCCTGGTGTTATGATGGGATACGGGAGGAGTTCGATGGCTCTTTTCTCCAACAAAATCGCTATGTTCTCCGCTAGAAGGTTGTGTTGAACCTGAGAGTGATTGTGCCGGAGCGGGAACATTGTCAGAGGTGGATCGGAGAGGAGGGGGAGCCGAAACCCCTGCCTCAATATATCTGGGTGACGTATGGATCCTCTAGGATGGACCAATTTTCCCAAAAGATCCCTATTCTCCCACCTACCGGTATAGGATAAACTGGGACGACTGGAGGTGGGAGTGTCCAGTCGTGCGTGTCCCTCACTTCACTTGCCCCTACGCCCGTCGCCCTGGGCGGGAGCACGGCGACGTTGATATCCACCCCTGTCTGATCTAGGCTTGGCACCACGTCCCCTGCCACGAGACGGCGCTGAGTTTCTGGCACGCCGAGTTGGATGACGTGGAGGCAGGACGTTGTCCCTTTTGAAACGCTTTCAAGGCAGTCTCCCCTTTGGCAAAATCACACACCTGCCGATAAACATCATGAATGGCATCGTTAAACAGTGACGACGATGACCAGGGTTGGTGGAATAATTTCCGCTGAAATTCAATCCCATGAAGAAAAAGGAGAGGAAGCCTTGTCGACATTTAATTACGCATGCGCTGGCAAGCCGACCTAAGGTGTTCACGCAGGTCAGTGATCACTTTACCCTGCCATAGCATCATAGTTGTAAGATGATCCAGTCGATCCGGATTTATTTCCTTAAGATCCTGAGTGATGGCATCAGTCGCTGACGCCAATGCCGATATAGGGCGGAGCATACGCTTAAGCTCTAAGTCCAAAGCCGCGACCCTTGTATCCTGAACTTTATAGGAGGACACAGAGGAAGAACCTGTCACACGTTTCATTTCCTCATCCACCTTAGTCACTGTCTGGGCAAAGTCCAAGCCATGAATAGGATAGTCATCACGACGCACTCTAGCGCTTTAATAGTTGGGTTGAGAGACATTCCCGCGAAATCTTCATCAAGGGTAGAGAGAATCTCTGACCGCCTCATGTGCTGGTAACATTAAGGAAGGCGAAGTCCCAAATAGTAAGTGACTTTGCAACATCAGGGCCTGGTGAAGGGACTGA